GCGGAGCGGCCGCGCGGTAAGCGGCGCGCGGCGCACGTGGGGCTGATGCAACCGCGGAGGTGCGCGGGGAGGTGCGCGGGGAGGCGGGCGCTGCGGCGCGGCTGTGCCCGCTTCGCCGCTGCCGCGGTCTTTATTTTCATCCTGCCCTGCGCCGCGGGGGTGTTTTCCGCCCGTGCGCGGCGCTCCCGTGAAGGGTGCCCGCTGCCGTACGCAGATAATGCGCGTTTCGCCGTGGCGGGCAGGGGCGGCGGGCATGTCTGCGGCCGCGTCTTTGTTGGAAGGCCGCGCTGGCGGGGAAAGCGGAACAAAGAGGGACGCGGCGGGACAGGTGAGGCCGGGCACGGGAATGGCGCTGGGAAGCGCAGGGAAGCGATGCCGCTTCTCCCCGGCCCCCCTCGTCAAACTACACTTTGCCCGCCACGATGTTCACCTGAATTGGCCTTTCACTTATGCCAAGGGGTAAAGGAGCAAAACTCGTCTAGTTGTTCTTTTCCCAGCTTTTCCTGCCCGCCGATGTAGAGGGGACAACAAATCGTCACCTTTTGGGGAGGCTTCCACATGCAGAGGTAGTTAGTGCTCCCGAATTCCCTGCTTTTGCTTGTTGCACGTATGTGGAAGAAGCAGCAGAGAAGAGCCAGCAGCTACTTTGCCAAAAAGCTTTCCAGAAAACATTCCCAGCACCTGGTGGCTGCCAGTGGTTTTTCCAAGAAGCGGCACTGCAGACAGAGCTGTCTCTGTCTCCTCGCTGCCAGCAGCCCTGAATGGCAGCCTTGAAAGCGGCCGTTTCGCCTCGGCCGCTTCCAGGATGTCTGGATACGCTGCAGTCGCCTTGGGTATAACGGAGCTTAAGCGGAAAAAAACTGCTCTGTCTCTGCATGGACAGTGTTTCAGAGACAAAGTATGTGGCCAAACGGAGCTCTGGGCCTCGCGGCGGTGATTTTGTGCTGAACTTTGCACTGTGGGGCTGGACAAGCCTTCTCATGAAATAACGCAGGCTACCAAGAAAGTTTAGGGCGTGTTGGAGCAGTGGTAACCAGAGTTAGAAAACAGAGATGGTTTTGAGCTGCTACTGGAGTTTTTCTGTGTCTGGCTGCCAGGCACCACCCCACAAAGTTGGTATGTAGCTATGCTCCTAAGCATGAGTTCAGTGCTGCTAACTAGCATTGGTCTCTGCTGACTCATGGCTTTGACCTCTTTTATTTTGTGTGAAAGACTTGCCTGTGTTATTACTGTGTTGCAGCAGAATCACTGAGAATGCAAAAAAAGCCTTGGCCTCCCTGAAGAGAGAAAACCCTCGGCTGGAGCCAACACTAGCCATTATTCAGGTAAAGTATAGCTGAGTTTCAGCTGCTGCAAGAGATCACTTTGCAGGAAATTTTTGTTTGAAATTTGTAAACACATGGTGCAGAAAGTGACTCTTATTCAAGCACAGCAGTAGGAAGAGGTAATCCCATCAGTGCCCTCTGAGGAAGAAGTCTCAGGATCTTTCCTCCCAGGAGCTCTTCTCCAGGCCTGAAGCACCCACAGCAGCAAGTTTCCCACTGTGGAAAAGTGCTAGAGTGCTAGAAGGCTACAATTCCCCTTCCTCCCCTTGCAAACACACCCTTCTCCTTTGTTAGCACCAATTGCCTTTTATTGCCTTTTCTGTCACATTGATAATGGTTAATTGATAAAATCAGGCCGGGTTAAAACTCTTTTGTCTTCTCTCTCTCTTTTTTTTTTTCCTGCAGTCCTGAGAAAGGGGGTTGTGTCTGAAAACCTGGTCCTCTTTTTGCTTCCTCCAGATCATATTAGTAGGACTAATAAAAGGTGTTCCATCTTTCTGCAAACATCTCTTTTTTTTTCCTTGGATTGCTGTAGCTTACATGTGTATTACTGCTATTCGAATTAAAGGAGAAACATACTGAAAGTTCCCAGTGAGCTGAAAAGGGTCTGTGCAATAAATGCCCCATGTGAGAAATGTTGTCAGTGTCTTAAGCAGCAGCTTGCTAAGTTGGAAAAATCTCTTTGGATAACTGAGACTTGTTTTGCTGCTATCTTCAGTGTATATTTGGGGGATAATAATTCCAAATAAACTTGTAGGTGAGAATCGCTTTCCTTGCAAAGCTGGGAATTGTTTCACTTGAGGTGTCATACGGCTTCAAGGCAGGAAATTGGAGACGTCCGTCAGTTTGTTCCGAGCGAACCCAGACCTGTGCAGGCAGAGACGTTCTTGCATTTCCCAGGGCTGTCTCGTTGGCCTTGAATTGGGGTGGACTGCATCTTTGTAGCAGTAAGCTTTTAATTTTCAAATAAGATGTAGAAAGTAGCAGTAAACCTGAGGAGCAATGTGCTCACTCTATTTTAGTGATTTTCTGGAGACACAGAGTGGGAAAGCTTTACCATCTCAGGTAGCTTTCCCACCTCAGCCTATATGTTCAGGTATCCATTTCAAGTAACCCCCTAAGGCTGTAAATCTAAGAATAAAGACATAATCCTGTTCTCTCACTGTTTCTCACTCCTATTTTGTCCCCGTCCACTCTTGTCTCCATCCTCTTGAGCTGGATTAGAGAAGTGACCCACTTCCAAGTGTTATGTGAGGAGAGGAAGGCTCCTGCTTGTGTATATAATTTAGGATGTGTCTACATTAATGTTGCAGTTTGGATCATGTGTGCGCTTTAAGTGAACATCCCTGTTGTGTCCCCCTTTTGCTCTCCTTGGTTTGCATTATCCCTAATCCCCAAGAACGTGGCTGCAGACTATGTGCACCGGCTTCCTGCTGGACAGAGTTAACCCAGCGGATGTTCACCAGCTGTCCAGCTCGAGGCTGCATCTGAGCACTGAAGCAAAACCTGCATAAAATGCGTATTTCTTGCTGCAGACAAGGCTTGGGTTAGCCTCTAGATGCTGTGCTTCTGGGCAGGGAGGCCAGAGCAGCTCTCCATAGGGACCCTGCATCTCTGCTCTGAAAACAGTCTTCGCTGCATTCTTTTACCCTCAAATGATCTGAGCCTGAATTGCTATTTTGACTGATGCAGGTACGAGCTGGAGCTGCTCTGCGTTGGCTTTGCTTGTGTCCCCACTGCAGCAGCCTGTGTGCCCCCCTGCCCCAGTGCCAGGTGTAGGGAGCAGGAGAGGTGCCAGGGATGCAGCTGCTGCTGGGCTTGGGAAGGTGAGGTGGGCCCTAAGGGGGAACCAGGGAGTTGGACCCTGCGCCCTGCCCTACTGAAGCTGTGGGGTCAGTCGCTGTCCCTCTCAGGGCACTCTGTCCTTTTTATGTGTTGTTTTCTCAATGTGAACAGTCTCGAAGCATCTGGAATTAACAGGTTGGTAAACTGAACCAAAATTCCTTAAGTGACTGAAAGTTACTGGCAATCCTCAATGAAAAAGGAAAAATAATGTAGAATGAAGCTGCCATAAACCCTTTTATTTCAATTTCAACAATTTATTTCAATTCTGATGTCCAGAGTGGAAAACACTTATCACTGTAGTAATATATTTTAAAAATGAAGTGTGTTACTCATTTTCTTAAGAAACAATAATGACGTTTTTAAAAGTGAAGTCAAAATCTTACTCATCTAGTAAGGATGAGTTGCTAGGAAGTTTTTAGTTCTGGATATCAAATTCTCTGTTTCATTATTACAGTATATGAAAATATTTCAAAAGCCTTCTAAAATTCAAGAGTAGGTAGTAATCAAAAATCAAATGTAATAGTTAATGCAATGCAAATAATAGCAGGGACCATAGGGGAAGAGGATTGCTGAACGAGGTGGAGCTGGTCCTAGGTAAACCAGCCCAGGACAAGCTTTCATTGCAGGGCAAGTGTCTGATGGTACTTGGTAGGACTTAATAACGTGTCTTCCTTCTAAAACAAAGACTCACTGTTATGTATGTGGGATGTATGATTTGCATCATTTTTGGTGCTGAGGTAAACCAGTGGTGTTAGATAGTGTGTTAGACAATGTGCAGCAAATGCTTCGCTTGCCTCTGTCCATTTCTTGTTTGCTAGGAGGAGGTATGGAGAGCTGTATGTCCAGACACAGCCTGGCGTTGTGCTTAAATGATAGACTTGCACTAAGGAAATGCCCACTCTTATTTTTAAAACTCAAACACAGATTTGAATCAGTCACACCAAAACAAATTTACCAGATGATTTTCTGTTTTTTTTTAATACTAGTAGTTGTAAACATCCTCACTGCATGTTTCTTACATAGTCCTGTATCTTAGAGCATGTCATCAAACTATAAATTTATTATTTTAAAACGTCGTTTCTGTTTTGTTCCCCTAAGGCACATAATGATCATTTGGTCGAAGAAGTAAACAAGAAGTTTGCTGACGAGGTAACCTTTTGCCCATACAGTTGTTCCTAAGCACGAGCTGTTTGCCCCCGATAATTCCAAGTGTTGTTTCCTCCTGGCAGGTCGGCCTACGCGTTATCCACATCTCTCTTCCCGAAGGCAGCACCACAGATGAGGTAACGGCGGGACCTGAAGTGCTCTTCACTTGTGCTTTCGTTCTGAACTTATATTCATGCTTAACTTTAAACCCCTCTCTGCTAACGCAGATTAGGCTTGGGGATTAGTTAAGTAGCGCGTATCATCTGTCTCTGGTAAGCGTGGAGCAAAGGGAACGGCCCGTTGGGGTGGCTGCTGTTCTCGTGCCGGCTGCCGGGCGCGTTTCGGGGTGCGTTTCGCAGCGGAGGCGGCCGGGGCCCCAGGCCTCCCCGCTGACACCCCATCTCCCGCTGTGGCTCTTGTCATCCTGTCGCTATTTATGGATCTCTTGGTTCCACGCCAGGGTTTATTCAAGGAAATTAGAGCAGATTTTTTTTTTTTTCTGGAAATATTTTGCCTATTTATTGATGATATAGCGTTTAAAATGAGTACTAGGAAGTACTTTCCCTTCCCTTCTCACCAAATTGTCAGAAGACTAAATTCTAACTTTGTTAAATACGTTATATTGGATTCATAGTTGTAAATTTAAGTGCAGAGATAATGGAAAACTTAATTAAAATATTTTCCCAGGAAACAGGAATGAGATTTCTATAAATAAAGCCTAAGGTTCAGGCTTTATATGAACTTTGTTTCTTTTAATAGATGTATATAGACTCCACAGCATCCGTACTTTTAAATGGAATGTAGACATTTTCAGTCTGTGTTGACATATACATTCATTATTTCTTCCGACTGGGATATGTACAAGCCCTATGGCTCTCAAGTGGTCTCTAACAGCCAAAAGCTCAAGGAAATTTTTATGCATTTTAACAGAAATTATAATAGTTAAGATTAGGAATTCAGTAAAACCACTCGTACAAGTTCTTTTGTCGCATGACTTCTCTGTTCTGCTTAATTCTTTTTTTCCAGCTAAAGCATAAAACTAAAAGGTAGATGATTTGTGCTGCCTTCTTGTGGTCCCATAGTTCACAACATGCAGGTTACTATGTTGTCTTTAATATTTATGTACATATTATGTACATTTAATATATAAAAATATATGGAGGGGGGTTGAGTATATATTTCAGAAGTCAGCAGAATAAGGGATATCTGCCTACCGGTGAAATACTGGTACAGTCTTCATTAACAGGAGCAGAAGTTCTCTGATTGGAGCATTGTAGACCCTCTAATTCCTACCAAATTCCCATGATGTAATGTTGACTGTGTGGGGGATGTTTGAGCAATATAGTTCCCAGTTACACAGAAGAGTTAATATGCAGAGTGTGGTGGGGAGGCAGGCCATTAGCTGTGGGGAAAACCTCCTATGTTTGCTTTCTGTTGGATATTAACCCAATTAAATTATACAACTTCTTAGGAGCTGAGCACTTTGAGAACTTTTAAATATACTATTAAAAAAAAAAAAAAAAGATGATTTTTTCTTTCTCATTTTCATGTAGTTGTTCTTAGGACAACTTTATTTGTATTCTCTTAGTGGTAATGCATGCTAACATCCCCTCGTCTGTGCTTGGGAAAATATAAGTGTTGGTTTTGCAATAATTTTATTATATAATAAAATTATTTAAGAGATTCAGAGTAGCTTAATTTGATAGACCAAGGAAATATAAACCAGGGCAAACAGGTTATTCCTTCTTCAGGTAAAAGCTGCAATAATATCGAAGGGAGGCACAAGTGACCATAAGTTAATTATAAAAAATAAGTTGCATCCCTCTTGAACTAGTGTGTGTGGAATGAGTTATCATATAAATACACTTTGGCCTTCTAGTATTTTTAACTCCACCATGTTTCTGTGTTGAATTTTGTTTGAATTCAATCGTCATTTCAGCATTATGCAAAATTAAGTTTAATTTTGGCTGTCTTGTTTTGAAGAGACACTTCCAGTAAAATATGTGCTAGACTAAAATGATGTAAATTGTTAGGAGTGGTTCAATACAATAGCTATATTTTGTGGTCTTTGTAACATGCAGGACTGACTAAATATGCAGACTGCTTTTGAATGAACTGTGAAAACCAAGAGTAGTGAGAGGTGGACTGTGAAGAAGACACTGACTCATCAGCTATCAGAATGAAACTGGACTATTTGGAGAGCTTCTTGCATACAGGGGAAGGTCCCTTTATAGACAAGAGACTTTCCCTAGAGCAGCGTTCAGATTTTGTCCACTTCTTCCTCCATTTTTACTGCTTAATGTTGCAGCTGTGCCCCAGGGTCTATTTCTGGAAAAGTGAAAATGTGAGCAATGTGGTCCTCAGACAAATAGTCATCGGTTTCTTCCACAGAAACAGGCGGTTTGTTTTTATATTGTAGTATTCATCTTTTGTCTGTTCTATTTTTTTAAAGCATTTTATTAATTTCCTAGGTTGTTGATGAAATCTTGAAACTTAATGAGGATCCTAATGTGCAGGGCCTTGCTCTTGACCTTCCAGAAGGCGTATTTAGCAGCAAGGTATTAAATGCCGTGAAACCAGAGAAGGATGTGGATGGGTAAGTGAAGCAGTGAGAAATAATATTAGCAGAAGCAAGGCTCATTGCTCTGTAAAATCAATTTTTCCCATTTGCTAATGGATTCTTCAGTCATTGCATCTAGCTGTGTTAGTGAGTGGGTAAAGGAGGCTCTAAGTGTGTCAGAAGTTCTTTTGACTATGTTTTTAAATCTTCGTGTACTGTATATTCAGGAAGCGGTCCTTGCGTGGAAATAACAAATGCTACTGATATGCTTAAAATATTTCAATACTCTGTAATAAAATCAGCAGTCCCACTCAAACATGGTTTCTGCATCTGGGATTAATGGAAAAGTTGCATGGAAGGTTTAAAATTGCTACAGCACTTGCTGCCAGTGGGGAAGACAGCAATAATATTTGGATCCATTAGCATGACCTTCTAATCAGTTTTGAGTTACACTGCTGCCTGAAGAGTTCACTGACTTATTTTAGATGTCTGGGCTACTGTTTTGCTGCTCTGGCCCTTTGCATTTTTCTTGCTCTCAACTGCAGACCTCTGTCTATCATTTCTTTCCCCTTCTCCATTTCTATTTGTTCAGAGTGGAATCTGAAAATCTTGCAAATAAGTTCATTTTCCATTATCTTGGAGACTGACATATTTGACATATTTCCATATCTCTTGGAGATTGACAGAGAATGAGGAATTTAGATAATATCAGAGAATGCTGTGCAGAGACATCTGAATTCTCCTCAGCAAGTCCAAAAGGACCTCTGGTTCCACTTTGCTGATGTGATTCCACAGAAAGCAGCTTAGAAGTTATTGTTATTATTTTTCATATGTGCTGTGGCTAACCTACCGCAAAGAGTAACATGTTGTTCGTGTTTTGTGCACTTATTTATTCTAACTCGCCTCCCCCTTTGCTGCTATTTCTTGGGGCTCGGTGTTTGTCTAAAATACAGGATGATGCAAGTGAGCCACAATACCTCACTGTTGAAGGATTTACTTATATGAGGCATGTTTGCTCTGTTGTTATATAGATAATAGCTAATCACAGGAGTGATATTGAGGATTTGTATTGCGTACTTTTTTAATTCCCAAGTTTTTGCATTGCAGCTTATCTGATGTAAACTTAGGATGCTTGATACATGGGGATGTCTTTGGCTGCTTAGTTTCTCCTACTGCCTGTGCTGTGATGGAAGTTCTGGAAAATTTAGGTGAGACCATGTGTGATAATTGTAACATTAGTGAAATCTTTTTTACCTGGTAGTAGTTCTAAGACAAATATAATCTCATTTTGTTTCTTCTGTTTTGTTTCGTTTTCCCACCTTTAACATACTTGTTTCCTTCTGGTAAAGAACCTCAGCAGTATTTGAAGGGAATATTCTCAGAAACACGTCTTACAGTTTTACAGTATTTGTAGACTGGGTAAGGATTACTTGCCATCAGCAAGCTCAGTCTCGCTGAAGTCACTCAAGCCATCTCTAGAACCAAAAGTAGAGATTTCATAAGCCAGTTTTGATCAGGGTTAATATTTGAACAAATCCAGGTTTGCCTATAGATAACTAACAGATGAATCTTTTGGTTTGGGCTATATTATATAAATGTCCACATTGAAATGGCAAATGTAAACAAGTCTACAGCTATTGTAAATACAGAGCTAGTTTAAGGTAGTGTCTCAGAAATAGTCTGTCTTGTGGTGATTCTGATTTATTGAGACAGGGATTTATGTAATTGAGCTGTAAACATGTGGCAAAATATACTTAGCTACAAATATGGATGAAAAGATACGTGAAAACAAAATAAGCAGAAAACCAGGAAAGACAGATCCGGTTGCTTGAAGTCAAGAATGACCATGACACAGCTTAAAACCTCTAGCTGTGTATTACTTCGTAGACTCTGAAAGAGCTGCCTTTAATGCTGTAGGTAGCATGGTTGCTCAAGAGATGTATTGCAGTGATTGAGTTCTTTCTATTGCCTTAAAATATATATATAATATATATACACACACACACACACACAGCCTAAGTGAAAAGAATGGAAGGAAGAAGGACAATTCAATTAAATGCTCTAAGTCTGTGATCCCTTTGGAGTTTGGTTAGAGGGGGACATCAGTGACTTTCTTGCCTTGTGTCATGCAGATGGAAAGAAAGTGCTGCTGGTGGGAGCCAGTGGGGCCCTGGGAGCCTCCTTGCAGTGCCTGCTGCACCGGAGAGGGGCGATGACCATGAGCTGCCACTGGAAAAGTCCTCGGCTCCAGAAAAAGGTGAGTGCAGTTTTCCACCTTCCAAACAGTTGGGGATCACCCAACATCTGTGTCTGACTGGTGTGTCTGTCCGCAAGGGTCGTGCTGGTCTGGCTTGTCCTTCACGAGAAGGGAGGCCTCTGCACGGGTTGTAACCAGAGCGTGTGGCACAGCAGCACCTGAGCTGGCCAGTGGCCAGGCTGGGTTAGGACACTTTTCGTCCTTCCTGCTTGTTCAAAACTCATTACTCAGGCAAATAGATGATCCATATATTCTCTACCAGAATACCCTATGTGTAGCAGGAGCTGTGAACTTCATTCTTTGGCTGTAGCTGTGGGAGAGAGAGAATTCCTGAAGTTTAGTATGAACATCTTCAGATAACCCATTTTCTTTCCTTCAGTGCAAGCAACTCCTGCTTTCTTCTTGTCTTCTCACATACTGATCTTTATAAAGTTACCTATACTCAATTTGGGTTTTGACAAATTTTGCAAGTACCTCTTTTTGGACAAAAGGACCTAGATCTTTTCTTTAGCCTTGAAAAACAAAAAAAAAGGAAAAGGACCCAGTGAAATTCCTGGGATTTAATTTGAAGGATTTAATTTATACATTCTGGGTGCCTTTTGCAGTGCATTTAGCAATAGTCTGGAAGTTGGTACAACCTCCTGTCAGACTTCCCAGTTTATCCTTTAACCTCTCATACGTGTTTGAGACAGTAATGTAAGCGGGAATGTGTTGCCCTTGGTGCACATGCCCAGGCTCCCAATTCAACCTGCAGTGCAGACCCTAGTTACAGCTCCAGAGGAGGTGCACATTATTTCAGAAGCTTCATTTCCAAATTGATGTGCGAGTGTAAGGTCCAACGACTAAAATGTTCTGTCGTATTTATGCCGCAAGGTGGCAGCCAAGCCAAAACCATTTTGTCCAACTTTCCGCGTTTGAATTCAAGAGCAGAATGAGGAGGTACATTTGCATTCATTTGAGCAGCTGTGATAGAAGGTTCTTTGGCAAGCTTGTGTTTTCACAGCTGCTGGTGTTTTGGTTAGGCTTGTCTCGTTCCTGCGCTTTAAGTGACTGACAATTCCTAGGAAACATATGCTTCTCTCAGGGATGGAAGCACTATAAACTTTGTACTCTGTTTCACTCTTCAGTTATTTCCCATGGCTCGTGTTTGTGCCTATGGCCTACTGTCTGCTAGGGAATCTGTGAGAAGGGTAGTCCGAGGTGTTTTCACTGGTTCACAGCACAGGATTCAGGCCAGGCCAGAGCTCCTTGTGCTGTGCTGCCCATATACTGCAGAAAGATCTGTTGCCTTCCATCCAGATGCTTCCCTATAATCATGCCTCGCTTCTTGGCATTCCCCATGGCTTACCTCTCACAGCAGGTCACTGATGGGAAACAGAGTATGAGGCCTAAGCAGGAAGAACTTTGAGGCTTTACACATCACTCTTCCCAAGTTCATTTTGACTTTTGGCGACAAAGGAGTTGCTGCTTTGTCTGCAGGTCTAATCAGCAGAGCTCTAGGGAAGCTTACCTTTCCCTTTCCTAGCTCCAGGCCTGGAGCCCAGCGTCACCAAGAGCCCCCAAAGCGCTGATGGACTTGGCTGCGCGCAGCTCTGCAAGGAAGAGCTCCGGGATAAAATCTAATGCGCGCCCACGAGATGGCCCCCTACCCGATTCCCAGCAGCCAGAAACCAAGGGCAGCTTTCATATCAGACAGCTAGGCACTGCTGTTAAGTAATGTGATTATAACCAGCGATACAAATCTGTTTTCTCTCGTTAGCTTAAAAGCCTAGTTTGTTTTGGTGAAATTAAGTAAAAACAGGTCAAAGGCCCACAAGATTTTGCCTAAGTGTTTCGTTTGGATTTCAAGTAGGTAAATAGACTAGTCTATGTAGAGGTTTTTCCAAGACTTTTGAGGAGAAAAAAAAAAAAAGAAAAAGACAGCTCATGGTTTGATTTTAGCATAGCATAATCTGCTAACTGTCAACATGTTTGTACTCTTAGTTTTTATCTTCCTCTGAATGTAGTGCCTTGGCAATAACATTGTGGCCTACTGTTTGGGGATACGTTCTCTAGCATAATCACTTAACTGTATGAACACTTCATTGAGATGCACTTGTTTGGCAGTATATACAGCGAAACAGAAATGGAACTTAAAGCTAGTGAACCTTTTGTACCTTAATCCATTTGCCAGGCCTGTTTGCACTGGAAGCACAAATCCCAGGCTTAATGATGTAATGCATTTTTGATGCAGGTGTGTTATCTTCGAGTAGCCCTGTTGATTTGTTCTTTCTTCTAAAGGGTACCGTAACAACAACTGTTTGCTATAAAAACTCAGCTGATTTAATGGGATGTGTAACACTAACCTCGCAGTTTCTTTGGATCAGGTTTTGTATTGCCCTGGACAACTTATTGCATCCTTCAGTCATGCAGTTTTACAAGAATGCTTTGAAAAAGCTCAACACACCAGTATGTTCTGGTTTACCCTAGAAAAAGTTTAGCACTGAGGTAGAGGTAGCTTTGCCAACAAGCAGTATCATATCATCTACCATCTGACTTAACACTTAACTAGTTGTGCTAAAGCAGGTCTTTTGTGTTCTGTGTCAGTAAAAGGAAATAAAATAAATAATGGGACATTTTATTTTCCTTGCTTTGGCTCACAGGAATAATTGACACACTTTACATGCTCTTTTTCCTCTCTGCTCTATATTTTGTTCTGGTGAACAGATAATAAATGTTTCCTTTTGTTCCACTTTGGGTTTCCTTGCCCTTAACTATTAAAAATAATCATAATTGTACAGCTGAGTCATGTCCTTTAACACTCTTAAGCTTCCTGAATTTTCAAATAAAATCACTAATGAGAGAAAGCAATATATTTCAGAAAGTTCTGGCACAGCTGTGCATAGTTGCCGTGAAGAGATGCTGTGCCTTTTACATCATATGTAATGTTTTTAAAAACGACATATGAAGAAAGGAGTAAAGAGCATTTAGGTGGAGATAGGTGATAAATACATAAGATGTTATTCTGTTAAGCTTTGTGTAGATTATTCTTGAAAGCACAATGACTGCAGGATGTCTTGAGAGTGACCTAGTGATGGATATTCAGGAACATCTCAGTTGGTAGTAGTGCTTTATAAAAGACTAAGAAAACTTGATTAAATGTCACATTTGAAGACTGTAAGCTGTAATGTGCTTCATCTTTTATTGTGTTAGAGTATCTTTGTAGTTTGAAAGATTATCAAATAGATTCAAATTAGCCAAGACAGGTTATTATCTTGCCAAGACAAGAACACCTATGAAGAAATCAACCAAGTTGTCTTATGCATAGTCCATATATGAACCTCATTTAGAAAAACTGCTATACGGTTTTCTTAAGAGAATTAGAAGTTGGTCTTTAACCATAATTAGGAATGGAAAAATTGTTTGTGAAATCCCATTAAAAGAAAGGGGAGTCTGTGTGAGAGTTTCTAATGATGATGCACAATGTTTTGCGTGCATCATTTCTGCTCCTTTCAAGTCTTGTGTCCCACCTTGTGAGCTTAAAGCGTGCCCTACGCCAAAGCATGAGCCTGCAGCGGAGATGCCCAGCAGAGACCTATGGGGATGCAAGGGGTAGGTGACAGCAGGTCCCCAGGCAGTGCCCTGTGCTGCACTGTGTCACTGTGGCTGCTGAGGCCCAAACACACCTGCTGAAGAGACTGCACGTTGCCATTTTGGGCAAGACTAGGAGAACAGAGAATAGAGCGTAATGTTATGGGATTGCTGCAATTCACTCACGATTCCTGATGTATAAAATCATCTTTTTTCATGAATAGAGTGATGAAAAAACCTTTGCATCAGTTGCTTGTAGCTCATCGTATCTATCGCAGAATGTTTCAAAAACTGAAGTATTTTTTCCTTTGATTATGTGTTTAAAAAAGGGTTTTGTAACAGTCAGTTTTAACTATGGGGAAATGAAATATTTATGCAGCCCTTATGGCAAAACAGGTTTTCAATTATCTGGAATATACCGTTGCTCTATCATTATCATTAAATGCTTGGCTTGAATATCGGTATTGTTGTTTTAACATTTGCTGTTCTGTCTTGGGAATGGGTGGTTCTTCTTAATCTGCTTCTACTTAAATCTTGCTGGAGACAGTCATATTTTGTTATGAGGTAAGGTTTCGGATTAGTTATTGGCACGACTCTTCCCAACTGAAAAAATACTTATGGGTGAGAACACCGAATTCTCCTCGCGCAGCAGCCTCATCTTCCTCACGCCGCCTGTTGCGTTGAGGGGTGTTTGCCGTGACGCTGGTGGCTCCTTCTGCTCGCGTGAGCGGTGGGATGCGGCGGTTGTATCAACCTCACAGTTCTGTGGGTTACCCTGTGGCTGCCCGTTAGCGCCTGTCAGGATCCTCTCAGGCCCTCGGCTCGGATCGCCTGCAGCATCTGGTTCGGATCAGATGCATCCGCGGTCTAGGGCCGTGCGGGACGTTTGCTAGGGAGGTTGCATGTGATGATTTCATAGGTCTTTTCCATCTCTAGTGGCTGTGATTTATTTCTGATTTAGAAGGTAAGTCCTGCACAGGCCTCCAAACGCTTGCCTTATTTTTATTTTATTTTATTTTACGTCTTTTACATGCAATCAAAAGAATAGGTTATGACCAAAAGGAAAAGGGTAAGGGGAACTTCTTGCAAGTGAAACCAAAATACCCCAGTGGAGATCATATAATTTTCAATCAAGGATTCTCAGCATTCTGTAAACATCCATTTTGTTTTCAGTAAACTCACTAGCAAAGCTGAGCAAGTTTATGGGGAAAAAAAAAAAACTTTCACTAAAAAAAAAAAAACAATAAAATAAATAGACATAAATAAATAAAATAGACAATTTTATCTCCACCTTTTTCTTTTTTCCTCTATACTTCATTTTCGGAAAACAATAGAGCAATTACAGGGAAAGGCTCTGTGATCAGTATATATTCATCCCAGGGGATACTGCTCTATGTCACCTGATGCAACTTGATTCCTATGGGAAGTAGAACAAGGCAAAGATGAGAAGAAAGGTCCAGCTGTTTTGTTTTTCTTTTTTCCTCATGTATTTATGCATACGTATGACTAGCCATTCAATATGGTGCTAATGTTGGCCTCACAAATGATTGTGTTAAGACTGTTAAGAACGTTCTTCAATATTACAACTGGTAGTCATAGAGATGAGCATTTGGTCAGGTCCCTTGCTCTGGCATTGCAGTTTTTTATGACAGAACTGATCCAGTGTATGTTGGCTGGACATTTCTCAGAATTATTGCTTGTTGCATAGAGCTCTCAACTGGATCATGGTTTTATGATGTTAAGCACTGTATGAAGTTATTAGCCTTTCTCCCAAAGGCTTTGCATGGGATGATATACCTGACTTCCAGTATATGAATTATAACTGCCAGAACAGGAATCATTTTTTGTTAGGAAAAAGTCTGGACTCATGTAACTGAAGCTGATCACTGTTTTTCTCTGTTTGTTCACGACACAGTGAACAAACAGTGGCTGCCTGCTGTTGCTGGGGAAAGTGTGACTTCAACTAAGCACTTTTGGTACACAAATCACTGCAGCAGCTTGTCCAAAGTTGCTTGCAAATTCCTCAGCATGAGGGGGAACGTACCTCACAACAGCCGAGCGTCACTTACGTAGCCTTCCAGGAGTGGCAGCTGAGTTGCTGTTTGCACCAGACACGGGGGCCTGGATTAGTTGGTTAAGATGCAATGACTGTTTGCCCTGTCCATTTGCAGGCACTCATAGGAATTACAGGGGCTTCTGCCTGAACCAGCCTGTAGCATTAGTCATTTGTCAAGCAAGGAGACCTTCTCCCCCACGTTTGGCTTCGTTTCCACATGTTAGTCTCCAAAGGAGGGTCAGACCATCCCTGTGTCCTCTAAGGAGAAGACAGAGCTTTCTAAGCTCTCTGCCATTTCCACCACAATTATGTTCTTCTCTCCTCCTTTTTGCTCAGCTCTGCCAAAAACTGCTCTACTGATGGAATTTCTAGCTGTTATTTCTTGGCAGGAATCACGGGCAGGATTGCGTCAGAGCACTTTTGGCCAGAAAAGAAGCTGGAACACTTGTCAGTCACAAATCAAGTCATAGAGAGGTTTGCAGAGTTTGTGACACTTCACATTATGTGTTTCAAAATATTTCCAAAATTACTGTATCTCTGGAATAATTTTTATGCTCAAGCTTAAGCTAGCGCTGTGCCAATATTTCCTTTTTTAGTGCTTCTTTATATGTCTGCCTCTCATGAGAGCTTTCCCATATCTCCTGTTAATTCCAATAATTGTTACACAGCTTTGATTGAGAAGAGAGAGGAAAGGAAAACACCTATGTCCTTGACTGTGAGATTTTTTTTTTATTAACAGCATTAAGCAGTTAACATGACTTGATATGGGGGAGAAAATAAAAAGGTTTCGTTGGTGTCAAAGCATCTATGTTTGCAGATTAGATCATCTTGCATTGCCAAGTGAGCTGGCCTGGTTTTCTACTTTACGATCATCTGACTGTAATCTTCATAGCTCTCCATTTACTGTCAACCCTTCTTTTTCTAAAATTTCTTCAGATTACCCTGTAGGACAGTGCTTTGGATAATAACAAGGCTTTTTCTTTGAAAATATGTAATCTCCATTATATTTTATTGTGCTTACTGACCCCACTTGCCCAATTTAATGATTTGCTTCCCTCAGTTAACTTCAGTGCAACTGTTCATCAATCGAGCCCTCACTTGAGATTTTTTTTCTTTTGCCTGCAAATGGTTACCTCAAAAGACCATTATTTCATAAATCTAATATAAATTGCATATTTTTGACTGCTTCTAATTTTAAAATGTCTTTTCTCCTTTGGCTGCTGATAGCTTCAGCAGGCAGATGTGGTGGTAGCCGGCAGTCCAAAACCTGAAGATGTTTCAGTCAACTGGATAAAACCTGGTACTGTTGTTGTCAATTGCTGTCGTGACTTTCACTCAGGTAAGAGGAACTTAAATTGAATAGTTCTTCAAAGTAGTGTGTGATGAGTCTTTGAAGTAAGTGTATGACGTGTTGAGGACAACAAAATGTGATTAAAAGCCATATATTTGGGAGAGGAACATTTAAAGTGGGTGTATGTATATGAAGGTTATATACATGTGTCTCATATAAAAATAGGAAAAAGATGTCAGGTGAGGGAAGAAGTGCTAGAATAGATTCATCCTAACAGGATTCTATTTGATAAGCAATGATCCTGTGGATTCAGAGAATTGAGAGGAAGGCTTTTGGGTAAACAGATACACAGTTATTTCAGCACGTTGTCTTGTGGTTTCTGTGGCTTCAACCTAGAGGATGGGGGATAAAGAAAGAGGACAAAAATGTTGACTGTGACAAACTACAAAGCTTTATTTAGAGAAGTGTATGGGGTGCATTAGAAAAATCAAGAGGTCAAGTACAGACAGAATGTCTTCTATGGTAGCTACTCCTATGAAAAGAATCTTTCCCCCTCCCTTAAGCACAACTTAACTCAGTGTTTTGTGGGGAGGTATGTGTTCATTAATTTCTCATCTGAAAAATGCTTGATATTCTATTTGGGACAGAACTAAGAATGATTCCCAGAACTTACTCTATTATTCCACAGCTAAAACTGTGTTTCCTATAAATTTTCTTAAAATACTGTAGAGATTTTTGTGTATTTTCAAGTTTTTTTTAATAGACTATTGCATATGATCCTGTCTGTTCAGTATCTTGATGTCATTATATTGTGATTGAATAGGAAAATAAAGGTATAGGTAGTCTGATCACTTAATGTGCTTTTCTAAACCTATCATGCCTGTGCTTATGGATATCTAATAATAATAAATAAAAAATAATAAAACTGGGATAATGAGCCATGAGGCTCAGGCTCAGGGATAATGAGCAATGAGGCCCAGGTTAACTAGTTGCATGGTCCTGAAGGAAAATTCAGTAGACACATTCTGCAGAGTCTATGAAAAATCAGGCTTGTCTTAAAGGCACTGCTGTTCCTGTGCAAAGTGCGGTCATAAGAGGAGATCTTTTCCTCCTCTTTCTTAATGTCCTCTTGGTTTGCACACACACTGTGAATGTGGGAGATCTGGATCAATGGTTTGAAGACAATTCAGAATGTGTCAGCTCCCAGGACAGTGCCCTGGCCGTAACGGATATTTGAGGGGTGTGTACTAAGCCTTACCTTTGCTGATGGTGTGCAAGTTGGGGGGAAATAATTAATATTTTATTGAATCAAAAAGGGGTAGAGAGTAATTTTGACACTAGTAAATACTAATCTAATAATTATAAGAACCCATATGTTTCAGTATCCACTTATTTTGCATGGAGGTCATTGGACACCATTGTTGAGTTCTCTTTGAGCAGCAGTTGGCACGTGGCGGCCCTCCCCGGGCACCCCTCCTGCAGGTACAATGTGCTCTTGACCGTGTTACAGGTGGGAAAGCAGCAGAGAGAGGAAAAAATCACGATACAGCAATAGCATCTAGAAGCAAGGAATGGCCTCTCCCTGTTCTAATGCTTTTAAGCAGAAACGGCTCAGATGCCATACTTGGAGTGGAGAGGGCATGGGGCTGCAGCCACAGGCTGGGCGTGTGCCCTTCCGTGTAGTCCAAAGGGGCAGAGCTGACCTCTCCCAGCTCTGCATGCTGCCTGGGGAAAGAAACACCTTCAGAGATCTCGTTCTCCCCTTCCATTGCATTCCATTCCTGGCTCTTAACTTCAGGGACCTGAAAGTTAAGCCTCAGGGCGGCATGGCCCGTCTCAAGTGTCTTGAAGCTGCATCTGTGCTGTAGAACTCAAGATAATAGTAATGTTTCCCATCCCGAAAAGAATGCTGTTACGGCAACTGCATTCAGACACTGCAAGATGTTCACATACCACAGCAACATTTGTGCTTAAGGCAGGAAATAGACTGATAGTAACATTTGGCATGAGCCTCGAGGTTTCTCTCCATTTATCTTGCTGTGGCAGCAGGCTGCGTGTTAAGTGTAGTGATTCTTTCGAAAGGCAGCAGGAGATTTTTTAACAAGATAGTGTAAATAGGAACTTATCTACCAAATGTTGTCTGTCTTTACGCTTCTGCTGCAAGAGTTTGTCAGAATCTTGGAGAAGCTCTGGAAGTATAGCAGAAACACATTTTAGCCGCTCGGAGAATGGCTGGCCTGAAGACACATTAGAGAGGTACATAAAACACAGGTGTCTGCTTGACAGGAAGAATGCACTTAGTTTAATTGCCAGATATTTATTAAAAGCCCATTGTGGAACAATTATGACCTTGGAGAAGGCAGTGTGAGTCTTCTAAGTGATTCTTCACTTTCAATACACATTGAGGTCTGTTTGGCGGAGGTGCTCTAATTTTTTCTGGGTTTTCTCAATGTCCGGCTTAACATCTGTAGGGTCATAGGAGTTAAATGAAGCCTGAAAGCAAAAATGGTCATGAAATGTTTTTCATTTTTGCAGTCTGGCAGCTACATCTCTCATGTAATTATACATGTAGCCTAGCACCCGTGTATTTAGAAACCACTCAGAGGTTGCAAATTCGGTTATACTGGGGGACTGTAGTGATATAAGCCAGGAAAGTAGAACTAGAGAGGCTTGCTCTGCTGTGACAGAACGCTTTCTCAAAGTGGTTTTTGTTTGTTTGTTTTTAATGATCATACAACTTTTGTCAATGCAACAACGTTCTTCTGTAGTAATGATTTTGGAATGAGGGGATTGGTGATAACCTATGCTTCATATGTTTTTATGTAGATCAATAGAAAATAAGAATAAGTTTCTTAAAGAAATGATGACAAAATTGTTTGGAATTTGAGGTCAGACTCCTCCTGGGTCACTTGAACGTTCCAGCCCATACTGTGTCAGTATCTTAGTGGGAAGTTCAACCATTTCTCCACTGCTTCCCCCCATGACCCTACCAGACTGCCTGAGCAGATGACTTTGGACAGCAGCTTTTACCCATCTGCACAATAGGGCACAAATTTATTGGGGTGAATCAGAGGGGGAAAGGCAACATCTGTGGTCCAGCTGATCTTCTGGCCTAAATCCAGCACATAGAGAACTATTCTAGCCCCTAGAGGGAAAACTTATCCTAAGGGAGACATTGCAATCCTGTGGTCATCTTACTGGTTTGTGTGTGCATTGGTTTTACCTCTAGCTTCACCCTTACATCCTGAAAGTTTCATTAGTTTTCTTTCCTTAGTGAGTGTGTAGTGTGTACACACTCACTACTGGTTTATTGAAGGGAAGTACCCAATTTCAATATATATTTACAAGTATGCTATCTCTGCACTGAATAAAAGAAGTCATTTTTAGCCAAATAACATAAGTTAAACTATTTCTGCACAGTACAGCTGTCTGAATGGGGATTTTAGCTTCATTCTTCTTACTTCATTTGTCTCTTTGGCAGCTCTCCCAGTCTGGTCTCAACACAACAATAGTCAACTTATGACTGTGATAGATTTGCAATTTCCAGTAAAGCTCTGTCTTTGAGCTACAGTCTCAGCATCTCCAGAAATTTTAAGCATAACAAGTGTTAAAACAAGTAGAAGGCCTTTTCAGATGCTTTCCACTTTGAGTTTGAGTTCGCAGTGCCATCTTGGTTAGCTTTGCCATTGAAGCACAGATGCCTTTTGGCAAATATGCTTGAGAATGAATTAAAAAACAAATTGAAGGCGGCTCTGTGTGTGTGTCTGCAAACAGGGTCTCTGGTCTCTTGGAGAGAGGTGTGAGTGTGGGTGAGAGTGGATGTTTCATGGCCTGGTGGTGTGCTGGCTGCTAGGCACGTTTCTGTCTGCAATGCTGCTGATTGCAGCCCGGGATTTCTGTGGCCTTCTGCTATGGGGACTTTCTCTAGGAGAGGTAATTATGCGAGATAATGTGAATATTTTATGATGGGTACAGGAGGGACAACTAGAGCGAGAGCTTGGATAGGTCAGGATTTGCAGTAAAGCTCCCCCGAGGGAGAAAGGCTAAAGCTGTCAGTGCACGATCATTATTTTTTATTACTTATGTCTACGCCCTTCGGAATGAGACTTAGGTCTTGATAGGTCCACAGAGACTAACATGTGAATTTTATCTTGGAGAAATTGCATCTAGACAAAAGTTAATAAGCAACAACAGAAGAGCAAGCCAGGAGAAGGATTGCGGGAAGAAGACAAAATAATATATTCACTTAGAGTAGCTAATGTATGATTATTACGTGACATGTTGCCACTAGAAGCACTCATGTTTCAGTAAAACTGCAGTCGCTGTAAATTGTGTAGACACTAAAGAATGTCTGCTTCTAATTTTAATGTCATACCATTTTGCTGCTCAGTTTTGCATATTTTGATTTCAAATTTTAAATCCTGTTGGCTAATAATACTTTTTAATACTTGGTGATCATTTTGTTGTTCTCTCTCTTACTGAGATGGGCATATGAAAAAGAAGGCAGACTTAATCAAGTTCATTCGGATCATCTGATAAAAATATAGGGAGTTCAGATCCATGTACCTGTCAGGCTTTTCTTATTCCCCTTTCTCTCTGTTTTTGTCCAAAAGCATTCTTTTGGATCCTGCTATCAGTTTCTGTTGTCTCTTATTCTCTTTTCAGGTGTATGTGTGCCTTCTATGCTTTAGGGCTTACACGTGGTGTCTTGATTTTCACATTATTTCCTTATCAGCCTTCCTGGGTGATTTCTGTTTAATTATAAAAGAAGACATCTAAAATTTTGGCAGTGACATTAAGTTGCAAATTTTTATTCAGTTTTTTTCTGGTTTGTTTGCTTGAGGATAGCTTTCAAATACACATGCACCCACTAACCAAAGCTTCGGATTTGTTAGTGCAATATTTTTGTTCTACAGAGAAATACCATGGTCAACAAAGCAGCCATCCTGTGGAACATGATGTTTGTTCTCTTGCGATAGCGATGCGAATGCAGGTTAGTGTAACTTCAAACCCTGTACAATTTGGTGCTCTATTTTGAGTTGTAAGAATCGCTTCTACAGTGTGTTTTGGTGTTTGCTGTCTTGCTTAAATACAGAACATGGTGAAAAGCTTAGAGAGATGGATCCAATCCCAGCAGTACAGGAAGTGGGACATCCGTTGCTTGAAACTACAGCCCCGCTCCCCAGTGCCCAGGTAATAATTTTACTTATTTATTTATTTATTTTAGAAAAAAGGTAGGTAGCCAACTACTTAAAAATGTATGAGTGCCAAAAATGTCTGTGCCTGATTTTTTCATCTGCTTATGATGACTACAGATTGTGCCACTTTATTGTATGCCTTATTGTGGCCACGTGCTCATGTTTCCTGACATTTTTTTCTTTCTAATATGAACACTGAGGCCGAGCTTTATTTTATGAGGTCCTAAAGCTGCAACGTGAAGGAAGAGAGGTGAAGCTTTGGGGAAGAGAAATACAAAATATACACCAATCCTAATTGCTAAGGCCTAATTTAGGATGATATTTGTGGAAGATATGTAAGGTCCAGTGTTTTCAGTGCCATTTATTTTTGTGCTTATTTTCTTCCCTCAGCAGAAGGGTTTTCTTCTGAATTCGGCTTTTAAATTCCTGTGCATACTTGAAGAGCAGGAAGCATGATTATTCTCAGAGTCTTTTCAATCAGTTCCTTTCATTCACCAGCCAAGGTCCGTGTCTGGACCTCAGAGATCTAGGTCTGTACTGGTACCAGTGCCAACACCTCTGATGTTTAAAGCAGCCTGAGCTCATTTCTGTGCTAAAGATGCAGCTGTCAATTGTTGTGGGCAATAAAGAGAGAAAACAAGGACATGAAGTGAGTTCCTGGCAAGTAGGAAGGCTCTGGAATTTGTGTATGATTTTTTGTACACCTGCCTCTGAATTGCACTGCCAGGTTTAGGAAAGCAGTAATGAAATGTGCTTTTTTTTTATTTATTGAAAACTTTGATTTGGTTTTCACCATCACTAACTAACAATTTATTGGGTAGGAAGGCAATTTGTAATTAAAATTGTCAAACGAAAACATGCATTTTCTATGGTGTAGGAGGTGAGGTGGGCAGGGGAGAAATTTTAGGGCTTTTCTGGGCCAATATATAACATTTCTCGATGTAAGTCTTAAAAAAAAATTATGTCCATAAATAATAGAGTTAAACAGAAGCATATAGCATGCATAGTGTGATGAGTGTAATGGAGAAAAAAAATCTCAGCCCTCTATGGCATTGAGGTCACTCAGTGGCTCTCTATTATATATGCTTAGTACTTGTATTTACATACTTAACGTATAATAGTATCTAATATAACCAGTAATAGAATTGCAGTAATAGAATATTTTTGATTACTGTAGCTCCATATTTTTTTCCTTTTAAATGAAAAGTAGTTATCAAGTGCATATATTTCTATACCGCAAGAAAATATAATCTTACCATAAAAAACAATTTTGTGTGAAACAGACTTTTTTTTCCACTTAAAATGTGGGAAAGCTACTTAAGCACTCTAACTAGGAACGTCAGCTTGTTGATTTCCATGAGCTATGGGTGTTAATTTGAGTCATATCCACAGATATTGGAAATGAACTGAGGATTTTCTTACGAATATGCAGTAATAAAATTATGCTTGGGTCTTACCAAGGGTCAATTTTATTTGACGCCTAAAAATGTTTTTAATGATCTAAAAATTTGTGAGCTTTTAACTTATTCCTAAATGCAGAACTAGGTCGGTTTTGCTTGTTCTACTTTTTGCTGGTGGTGATGTGTGCAGGAGGGCAAAAGCACAATAGTTTCCTTTGAAAGGAAACTCTACAAGGAAGTCACTTGTAGGGGGAGATGAGGGAGGGAAAAAGACTCCCGCTTACTGCATAGTCCTTAGAGTCTGTTCAGATATTTGAAGTAATAGCTAATGTTCATCTATTACAACAGATTGATATGGTATGGGGAGGGGAAAAGGCAGGCAAACTTTCTGGTATTTGAAGCTGGCCCTCTTTGCAATTTATCTATTATTTTAGTAAGAGATTATGTCACTCTGCAGATTTTGCCTTGCTGAAGTCCTTATGGGATCACACAGTCATCATTTGATCAGTATTTTTCGGAGACTTTTGCTTTTACAGGCAGAGTTCTGAATCACAACTTAAGTATTCTTTCTCATGAGATGTTTGCAAGCCACTGCACCCCCTGTTCTTGATTCATATTTGTGCCTAGTTGTGTTTGCATAGGACAACTGAAACTGCATCCCTTTATGCAAGAGGATGTGATTGGAATGGTTAGTACGTCTCTGAAAGAAGTCAGATTCCAAAGTAGTAAGAGTGAACACAACAAAATGGTCAGCAGCCCAGCTTTCGTAGTATCACCATTTGGTAGCTTCTTGCCCTGTGGTGTTGGCTTTTGCCAATGACTGGACAGACAATGCCACTTAGCTGCTGCAGGGTGTGTATATGGGGCATTTAAGAAGTATCTTCTGAATTAGAATTGAGTAGTGGTCCAGTTTAGGATATCTTCAAAGAACTACAAGCAGCTAAGTTGGCACAACCTGATCTTTTGCTGGTGGATGCAAAACAGCTCAAGTTAACACCTGGAGTTGAGATTTGGCCGTAGTTCTGTGTTCTTCTGTGGATATTTGAGGTCTTGCAGACTCCGAAAAAGGGCAGGGCATTAGCTTTGATGCCATTGCCAGATTCTGTCTTAAAAATAGTTATCAAATGAAACTGAAGGAAGAAATTTAGCCTGGATAGGCTGCAAGTGATTAATTTTTATAACCTGTTTTTTGGTGGTGTGAGTGGTTCAAAGCAAAAGGCAGTGACTCCTCACATCCTGTGTGGCTGAGCCACACAAGTTACTGCCATGGGTCTTGTTGTGCAAAGCTTAGATCCAGGAGCTCCAGGAGTAACTGGGTCAAGATCAGAGAGGAGAAATCCCTAGAGGCCTGTTAAACTTACAGTCCCCAGGTCTAAACCAGGAAATGCCAGAAGGGAGGCCACCAACATGATGGTGAGGAATTGCTGTGTTCTTGCTCCATGCGTTCGCTGTTGCTGAGGCCTCCACTTTCAGTCATTTTGGAAAGAGTTTGAGAGCTCTGTGGGCTTTTGGCCCGAGCCCTGTGCACTAACCTCCTGCTGTGTGGCCACTTTCAATTTAGCAAAGTTGAGGGAGAGCATGGATTGATCTCCCAGTGCTTTTCTTACTTCCTCTGGTTGCCTCTTGGGGGAGCAGGGAGGCTTAACTCGCTTGGCTGTGGTGCTACATGGGCAGTGTCATGTTTAGCTGATGTGTTTGTGTGAGCGTGGGCCAAGGAATGTATGTGCTTTTTAGTAAAGTGTATGTGCTGAAATATACTGGGAGAGGGGAGAAGAAAAACAAAACCAGAACGACCCATTCCAGTGGGACACGCTTGAACATCGAACAGACATGTCTCTAGCTTGATATGAAAGAATTACGTAATATTTGGAATTGGATTAAACAAGAGAACTCCATGAAATTATAACAATTAACAAACATTGCATGTGATTTTCAATGGTGTATTAGGTGTTAGCTAATATTTAGACTTGGTTAATAAAATGTGAGAGAGGATTGAAAACTGATTACAATAAGGCCATTGTTGGAGTGTTTGCTGTTGTTTTGTGCTCTGTCGTCGACCACCTAAGCTGAGAGAAATCTCCTGGCTCCTATTTGTTTTCTTTTCCAGTGATATTGAGATTTCCCGAGCTCAGAGCCCAAAAGCTGTTGATGTACTTGCCAAGGAGATAGGATTGCTTACAGATGAAATTGAAATCTATGGCCAAACCAAAGCCAAAGTACGTTTGTCCCTGCTGGAAAGGTTAAAGGATCAACCAGATGGAAAATATGTTCTCGTTGCTGGGTAAGAATGCGGAGTAATGTGATTAATGTACACCCTTTCCACTCATAGTAATATAAACATGCAACTTATATCTTCTTAACATCCTACACAAGTGGGACTGCCAAATGTTTTGTGCTCTGTGTCATTCTCTTCACAAGCAGGCAGTTTTTGATGTGCAGTAACACAACCTGTCTTCCAAAGCAAATGTTGCTGCAGAAGGAACTTTCGTAGAAGGTAGCTTGTTCTGAGCTTCTTAAAAGTTGTCTTCAGCTGTGTGGTGTTTCTGTTTTTGTTTTTTTTTTTTATCAGAATTTAAGATATTTAAGTCGAATATTTAAATCTGCATGCATGATGCCTGTTAATAAACCTTAACAGAAGCTGTATGGTAATCTGTTGATATTAATAATAAATACTATTTTTATTGAAGAACCAATTGCATAGTTAATAAGCCATATTTTTTCTCAGAGATGTAGACATGTCTCCAGGCAGGCTTATCCTACTTTCTGTTCCCACGATTACAGAACATGCTATGCTCAACAAGAATTATGTGCTGTGCTTCTGAGTAGCATTTTTTTCTGTGCTTGGGTACACAGTTATTATTACTTGTTTGATTTATCTGGTTTGTAAAGTAGAAATTTCTTACTGTGAACAGATAATGTGAAGGTTTTCATTAATTTTTAATTGCAATGAATGCTTTACTTTCCCAGAGAATCTACATAGGTGGATCCTTGTAAATAGGACCGATACTTCTTTCCTTGTGGTCCTTGTGAATAGGACCAGTCAGGTTTAAGTAGTTTCAGATTTATCCAAAGTGAGAAGACTGTTACTAACTGTCTTGATCCACCGATTCATGAGCCAGCATTTTGCAAAATGCTTAAGTACCTTCACATAGGGAAAACCTGGATTTCTGGTGCTATGCAAGATGGAGCTATTGCAGGCGGAAGCACCTCTGTTTGTTCTTGGTTAGTGAATGTTGGTTAGAAAACCAAGGCATGCAAGTTGTAAAGCCCCCTTTAAAGCTGGTGCTATAGAATTATAGCATATAAAGATGTTCCTGTAGGAACGTGAAACAGTTTAGTAGAAGAGAAAAAATAACCTGCTCAGCTTGGTTTCGTCCACTAAGGTTTTATTTTGTATTTTCTTTGTTCAGAGAAGAAAATTAGATTCAGCATTTGGTAGTTTGCCTTGTAAGAATTAGCATGGAGGGCTTGGGAAAGATGCCTGCAACACTGGGGTCTTTCCCTTCTGAGATAGTTCAAAGACTGACTTAGAATTTGCATTTTATAAATGGAAAAAAAAATGGGGAGAAGAAGCTTCAAGGCCTATGCTTTTACTTCTGGTACTTGATCTCATGTAAATATCATAGAAATGACAACTTAGTTTTTCATTTTTTCCCTTTATTTTGTGTGGAAGAGCTTGTTTTTCTAGTCTTTTTCTTTCTCCTTTTTTTTTTTTTTTTTTTGAGCTTTCACTTACTAAATAGACAACTTGGAGTACCCACAAGTTAGCATGAAGTAGTTAGTTCTTGTGCATTAGCTGCCTATGTACATGCTCCTAGTAGTTAAAATTATATTGAAGAATATGTTTTCTCATACTGCTTCCCGTTCCCTGCAAGCACAAAAGAATTCCTGTGTATGACATAGAGACTAAGTTTAAGGCATTGGGTTAACTTAATCATGTGTGTAAGCATCTCAATAGCATAATGGGAAACAGAGTATGAATCTTACAGCTAAAATTTGTTACCTTTTTTGTATGTTCCATTGTTTTGTTGTTGGATGTTCCAGTGCTGTGGCTTTTATCATTCAGTTGAGGTAACTTCACCTGAAAAATGCAAGAAGATGAATGAAGTAATAGAATAATAGAATGTGGAAAAAATATGAAATGTAATGAAGTTATGTTTTGCTACAATTGTGCTGACTTTTAAATGGTAGAAAAAAATGCCTTTTAACTGGTAGGAAAAAAAATAAAGTAGGACTTCTTTCCTAACAGTAATAGATTTTTTTTTGTGATGAACCAAAGATTCATCTAGAATACTATTATGTATTTAAACTATTACAGGCAGATAAAAATTCACAGTGATAAATACTGATCTAATACCTGCACAGGCTGTGTGATGGTAAATATCTTATTTTAGGGATGGAATTTGCAGATTTTGAAAGTGAAGATTTTTAAGTGTGGAGTTATGTTTGTGTTCACTACATTTACTGGTGCTCGAGGTGCTTAAATGAAAAGAAAAAAGGCAGACAAAAGAACAGGGAGGTTATAAGGAGGAATGAATAGAAAAATGACCATTTTGTTGATGCGGAGAAACTGCTGATAGTTCCAAGTCTTCCCTGAGACGGTTTGTCATCATTCCTCATAGAGTTGTACAGCTCCTCAATTGGAATTATATGGTTTGGGTCTTCATCACTTTTTAACAGGTTGTAGCTGTGAGTTCTTTAGTCTGCTGCTGGCTTTGTTCAGTCGTTTGTGTTTCATAGTGATCACTGTGCTTTCATACCCAGAAGTTCAGGGTGCCTTTTGGAGGATGCCACTGCGAGGTGGCAATAACTTAACCTCCATGAGGACTCATGGCAAAAGGGAAAGATGCAGCACTTTTGTGCTCAGAAATAAGTTTCAGAGAGTTGTCATCTTGAAAGGAGGATGTGTCTAGATGAGTTTGTCATTTATGAGAAATCTATTTCACTCTTCCTCAACGGCGAAACTGCAAACTCTGTTTTCATGCGGATCATAGAAGTGATGAACTTGCTGCGGTCTCCAAAATTTGCCAGTACCGACAAGTTAAATCCAGGAAAGAAGAGTCACTTAAGCACTACAGTTCTTGCTGGCTTCACACCAGCCGCGGTGACTGCACGGAGGTCACAGCTGGTGCAGTGGATCTTCTCACTGCTTGTTTATTTTCTCTCTGTGAGACCTCATGTAGCTTTCCCGCAGAAATAGCTCTGCTGTAAGCCCGTGTGGTGTACAACAAACAAACACAAAGCCTGCGTATTCTTATCTCTGTTTTGATATACACAAAGAGAGAGGCCGTTCCCATGTTATGGAGAATTTACTTTGCCGAGGAGCTGGTAACCGCTTGGTAGGTGGCAAAAGAAGTTTTAAGAAGGAAAACGATTGTGGGACTTCTGTGTTTACATTGAAAACATATTAAAGAAAAGGGAGGAAGAATGCAAATAGGTGTAAAGTCTCTTGAAGTTCATTAAAAGTCAATGTATTTAAAAGGGTTTTTTAACATTAGCCATTGGTATTTGTAATTTTATATATCTATGAGCTAGCAGCAGAAGTTGCAAATGTATATACTCAGTAGTATAGCTAGCAAAAAAATAATAAAGTATAGGCAGTAGTAACGTCAAAATGTCTCCACAAAAGCTTTGATGGATTAATTTACGCATAAAAACTGATCAAAGCAGGCCAAGTACAAAAGGGAAGTCAGGGTTCAATCTATGCTGAGATGCCACCTTACTGTCCCAAGCTGTTATGTGCTTGCAGGAATGCACTGGTGAAAATACGCTTGCTGTGGTGCGTTTTCACCCCTGCTTTGGTGGTTGCTGGTTCCCACAGGATTTCACATTCACAAGAGGGTTGGAAGCTAGTGTAGAGTATCAAAATACTAGAAATTCAGCAAAGGGAAGACTAGGCCCTTATGGTTTGATCAGTGAGCTGGGCTGTATGGGCTGTATTTTTTTTTTTTTTTTTTTAACCTTTACCTTTTCACCTTTTTTTGGGAGGTGGGGGTGGGGGACACACCACATTTTTTTCTCTGGAAAATTCCCAGTGCTTTCTGGTTTGTTTTACACTATTCAGAGAGGCCCGGCAGTTTATATGAGCATATATATAAGAGGTATTTGATTGCATGAGTCTTCTGGGAGAAGTAGATGTTGTTCTTCACATAACTGCTTTCTTTTCCTGTCTGTTGTTGAAGTCTGTGTCTTTTCCAATTTCCTTTCTTACACCGAGCATCAAGACTGTTCTCTTTCATTTCACTTGTTCTGTGATAGTCCTAAGAAGTGCCCATATTCCTGTGCGTGCCCGTTGCCAGTCCTTGAGGAGTTCAAGTCAGTCTTTGGCTGTGCTTGAAGCTGTATTTGAATAAATAAGGTAGTGACAGTGTTTCAGAAGTCTGTTAAATGTGAGCTGTATGGTCAGGGACATTGGTAACCAGCAACAGCAAGAATAAAAACAGGCAGGGAATGGTGGTGTGACTGAATTAAAAGGGGATTGAAAAGCAAACAGGCAGAAATGCAACAAGGAGGGTAGAGGAAACGGGAGCAGCGTTCTGCTCCTGCGGCGGGTCAGAAGCAAGCATGGATCGAAAGGAGAAGGGTTACGTTTAGAAGATATATTAGTCCCTCCTGCAGGTTGGCATTTCTTCTTGTTACTGAACAGAAATTGCTCGAAAGACATGTGTAGAAGGAAGGAGAGGGTAAAAAGCAGCTAAATTTTTTATGAAAAGGATTAGTGATTATGAACAGTTCTGGACTGGATTTGATCACCAATTTAAAAAAAAAACTACAAAAGCATTCCCACGCGCTTTCAAAGTTTTCAGAGTATGGCAGAGCACATCTGTTACTTGCAGAAGAATCTTGCAAGGTGTGAAATTGAAATTATTTTCCCCACTTGAACCTGTATTTAAATAAATATATATACTTCTAGAGACTAATCTTAGAGATGTGCAAAAACCAAAAGTGAATGCATGTTATGGCTTATAGTGCTGCTTTGCATCTTTTTAAGTCAGAATTTTACAATATTTCTTGTGTATTCATTAGTGTTGTGCCATATCAAAACAACATTAGCTGAATTAATTGAATTAACTGAAGCATTTCTTTCAAGGATGACAATTTAATCTTTCTAAACAAATGAAAAACTTCACTGCTCTGTGGAAGGGCTTATGCTCAGGCCTTTTCCCATGATAGTACCTTCAGTAAAACACTAGGCATTTGACTTTGCAATTTTCTCTGCAGAGCATTTCTTGTGCTCTCCTCATGGGCCTGTGAATTCAGCCCTTATCTGACCCAGCTGAGCCCTAACTCTGCTCAAGGAAACTACCTTGGGGCATTCACTTGTCTTGGGATTTGTAAGTCTTGGTTCCAGGGTCTTGCTCACCACGTTGTGGGGTGGTTTTTTTTCTTTTTTTTTCTTTTTTTCCCTCTATTGGCATGTGATGCAGAGTCTCTTTGTGGGGACAAAAATCTTCTATCCATAAGGGAATTCTCTTTTTAAATTGAGGGAGTGCAATTCTAGGAAGGCTTTATTTCCAAATACTCTTTAGAGTAAACTATCAATTGCTCTTTAAAATCTGATTGCGGGCAAACATGAGGCTTTTACAGATAAATGGCTAAAAGCCCATAAATAAACAAATATTATTGTCATTTAAAAGCAGTTTAAAGCTATCAGCAGACAAAATATGATTTCTGAAGACTCTTCAGTTCAGGGAATCTGTTAGTGGCATATTAAAATCCCAGAGATTTCACTTGAGTTAAAACATTACTTTTATGGATAGGAAAACACTATATACTTGAATTCTTTCCTTCAGCAGTATAGAAGATGTTAATGAGGCTTGCCTCTGATGTCCAAATTGTGCCAGACAAATGTGAGAAGTAAATTCATGTCTACCTTTTCTTTTTTTAAAGTCCAGAATCCAATCATGTAAAAGACAGATTTGTGACAAGCACAAAACTTTTCTCTCTACGGCCTTTTGATGTTGTTTGGGGGTTTTTGTTTGTCTGGTTGATGGGTTTGTCTATTTTAGTTTAGTTTAGGGTTTTTTTTGTTTTGTTTTTACCATCCTGTGCAGTATTCCTCCCATCCAGTAGAAGCGCTCCTTGTTTTACCCATTGCCCAGGATGGGGAAGTTTTTCATTTGAAAAATCAACCGTTGTTGTCTCTTTGTTACAGTTAAGTGGTGAGAAGCAAAGATAGAGTCTTTATATTGAGTTTGATTGTCTTTCTAAAATACCATCCTTGTTCAGCCGGAGTGGAGACGTGGGAATTCCTAGCATGGAGGTTTTTGAGCTGTCGTGTGGGAGGTCAGACTGTGAGTCTAGTTCTAGTTATCCAGCCTGGGCCTTAGATCTGCAGAGGTATCAAGGAATATACATGCAAAGTACATGCTGGTCAATTGAATATAGTCCCTTTTGTGCCCTGTGTGACTGAAAAATCAGTTGCTGAGGGTTATGGTGACATGGAAGTTAGAGAAAGGATAGTTGAGCTATGCAAACAACAGCATCTGTTCTCTGATTGAAAGTATGTTAAAGTATGTTATTAAAGTATGTTAAAGTAAGTTAAAGTATGTTATTATTTCATTCATAGTTTGAGCAATGGAAATAAAACATACATTGGTACACAAAAATAATAATACATGCTTACAGTGTTTTGATGGTGGATTTGCTAATGAAATCGGTGAGACTTTTACACTGTAATGAAAATGTCTAAATTCAATATACTCTGTTTAGAAGTTTTTGCCAAAATAATCTTCTCTTTTTCCTCTATCATAGTAAATTACTTAAATAAAAGACACATGTATTGTGCATTCCAGCCTGAGCTAGGAGGATAACATTGTGGCAGTATGTTTGTGGAGACATAGTAATTTTATTGAAATTTGTTGTACAAATATTCTTCATTGAAACCAAAAGCTGTAAGTTCTGATATGCTTAGCCAGGATGACATCAGCAAAGAATCTGATTCATCTCTTTTTTTCTTATTTTTTTTGGATAGAATAACTCCTACACCTCTAGGAGAGGGGAAAAGCACCGTCACAATTGGCCTTGTCCAGGCTCTTACTGCACACCTTAACATAAATTCCTTTGCCTGTCTGAGACAGCCTTCCCAAGGACCTACTTTTGGAGTTAAAGGTACCTAGTAGCTGCAAACTCTACGACTACTTTCAGTTTAAAAGGATGTATTTTTCAAAAAAAAAAAAAAAAATTAAAAAACCTTAGTCACTTCATTAACTCAATGGATTGCCTAAATAGTGATATCTTGTGTTTTTGCTAAGTGTATACCTACTGCTTGCACACATCTTCCCATCCCAGGTTCATGTGGACATTCATGAAGTTATGTGTACTGATAAGACATGTAAAACCTACACATAGTGAAAGGCTTTGGTGTAAGTTAGCCAAGAAGTTTCCTGTGTGCGTGTGCACACTCCCATCCACTCTGTTCGTTGAAGATGGTTTAAAAAAGGTCTCTAAAAATTGCTGTTTAACTCTTCCTTAGAAACAATACTTAAATTCACATATTGACTTACAATTATCCAAGCCAGAGTAATTGGCAGTCAAGGCTGTGATGTGGCTCTGTTGGTATGTGATTCAGCTGTGGCTGCCTCATTTGCTTGGTTAGGTGTGAGTCTCTTGCTTCGTTCTCTGAGTTGTCTCTCCTTACCCTGGGCTGCTGTCCTTTTGCCCAGAAATCCTACAAGGGCCTGAGGGCCAAGTAAGAGCCAGCCAGAGTTCAAGCCTGTCTTCAATGTTGATAGGAAGTAATATACATTTTTTGTGTGTGTTTTGCCATTTCTCAGCTGAGATTAGTGCCTAGCTTGGGCAAGCACCCCCCATCTGCTCTACTTTGCTTTGCTGAAGTTTAAGTTAACAATTTTGATTTCAGCTGGAAGGCTCCGGGTGCTTGGTGCTTCTCAGCCAACACTGGCGCATGTGAGTGCTTTAATATCTCCACTCAACTTCTGCATAGTTACAGTGAACTTACTTGACTAGATATTGGGAAGCCGTGGGAAAGGCACCCTCAGGCAAGCGTGTGAAGGTTACATTTGCAAGCAGTGATTGCTAGTGACTGCAGTGCCTCTCCTCCCAGCTGCTGCATGTGCATGACTGTGCCTTAAACCTGGGCAGGAGCAGTGAATCCCTATCTAGCCAAAGCCTGGACCAACCATCAGTTGTCAACTTTCTTTTCAGCTCAGGAATTCCCTTTTTGCTGTCTGTATTAGAAAGCTAGGAAGGCTGAAGTGTTTTCTTTTTATTTGAATGTATGACTGATTCCCTAATAGAAATTAAAATATGAAGCGTATCAGCAAAGCTGGATGTTTTACTTTGATGTTGTTTTCCCCAAACTGCTGAGAGTCTGGTGTGACCATATGCTTTCTTGCACAGGTGGAGCAGCAGGAGGTGGATATGCCCAAGTGATTCCCATGGAGGAGGTGAGAGACACTAGGGAGAGGGAAGGCAACGCAGCACATACTGGGCCCGCCCTGGGAGAGGTGGTGGCCCAAGGGGGCTACTGCAGAATTTGTACCTGTTTGTAATTTATCAACTATCATGCACATTTTCTGCACCCTCTATGTATAAGATGCAAGATAAAGAACTGACTAAAGATATTTGTTTGCTTTTACAGCCACATCTTTTTCAAAAGACGTGTGAAAGCATTACCTTTCAGTCAAGTAGAAAAAGAGATCCAGGACTGGTTGACAGAAGAAATATTTTTCATCTATAGATTTAATGTTGATTTAATGAAGTCAGTAACTGTGGCAAAATAGATTTTTTCTTAGCCAGACTGACCTATCTCTGGTAGTGATTCATTTTACCATGAGACACATCCAGAATATTTTTGAGAGATAAATACCAGAACTTTTGCTAAGCAACTAAAAGGAAGATGATTTAGTCCAAAAATGATAATAGAATAGAGAGATCTCTTGTGAAAAATTTTTCACATGTGCTGGCTAAGTGAAAGAATTGTTTTCTTTAAATTAATCTACAACTTTCCCTTGCCCATATGTAAATGGATTTCTGTTAAAGATGATATTATCCTGGGCTTCAAGTACTTCTGAAAATCCTATCTTAGCTTTTGAAGTCACAGATTCACAGAATATTTAAGGTTGGAAGGGACCTCTACAGATCATCTAGTCCAACCTTCCTGCTCAAGCAGGCACACCTAGAGCATGTGGCACAGGGTGGCATCCAGGCGGGTTTTGAAGACCTCCAGAGTAGGAGACTCCACAACCTCCCTGGGCAGCCTGTTCCACTGCTCTGTTACCCTAACAGTAAAGAAGTTGCTCCTCATCTGGAGACGGAACTTCTTATGCTTCAGCTTGTGGCCATTACCCCTCGTCCTATCGCTGGCCACCAGTGAGAACAGCCTGTCCCCTTCCTCCCTGCATTCTCCCTTCCTGAACTTATACATATTAATCATGTCCCCTCTGAGCCTTCTCTTCTCCAGAGAAAACAGGCCCAGCTCACCCAGCCTCTCTTCATACGAGAGATGTTCCATTCCCTTAATCATCCTGGTTGCCCTTCTCTGGACCCTCTCGAGAATCTCCACGTCCCTCTTATACTGGGGAGCCCAGAACTGCACACAGTACTCCAGGTGCGGCCTCACCAGAGCTGAGKAGAGGGGCAGRATCMCCTCCCTTGACCTGCTGGCAACACTCCTCCYGATGCMGGCCAGGATCCCATTGGCCTTCTTGGCCACGAGGGCACACTGCTSACTCRTGGTTAACTTGRTGTCAACCAGGACTCCCAGGTCCCTCTCCRTGGAGSTGCTYTCCAGCAGGTCRACCCCTAATCTGTACTGATGCCTGGGGTTATTCCTGCCCAGGTGCAGGACCCTGCACTTGTCCTTATTGAACCTCATGAGGTTCCTCTCTGCCCAACTCTCCAGCCTGTCGAGGTCCCTCTGGATGGCAGCACAGCCCTCCGGAGTGTCGGCCACTCCACCCAGCTTGGTGTCATCTGCAAACTTGCTCAGGGTGCATTCCGTGCCSTCRTCCAGGTCATTGATGAACARGTTGAACAGCACCGGGCCCAGCACTGACCCCTGGGGGACACCACTGGACACAGGCCTCCAACTGGACTCAGCCCCATTTATCACCACCCTCTGAGCTCTGCCATCCAGAGCTCGGATGGCAGAGCTCAGAGGCCAGATGGATGTGTGCTTTCAAAATACTTTTGCTGTGAAAACAATGATATTCTGACTGAAGTCTTCATCCTTCCTTAGTATACAACATTCAAGATATCTAATCTAAACAGTCCATGCATTTTATGGGCAGACTGAAGCAAGGATTTAGATGAAGTGTAGGCTTCAGATGAAGTGTATTTCTTGTCAGTTAGTTACTGTCAAATCCAGTACTAGGATCCTATCCAGTCTTCTCTCGTCTTCAGTACGCTTAGCTGTTTGCCCAGGGATGTAGGTACACTGTAGTTGACAATGTGTTTGGGGTTTATTTTTCTTTAAAAGAGTAAAAGGGCAGCAATGATAACAGCACCCAGAACTCTTTTGCCTAAGCAAAGAGGAGGAGAGATATGGGAGGAGAATGTGGGGTTGTCATTTCATTGCCTAGTATGGATGAGATCCAAAGTTATTGTGTGTGTGGCACCACTACCCTTTCCTCAGCCTTCACCCTGCTGCTTTCAGGGATGGGTAGAAACTATTATGCTGTGCCTAAGTCTCCTCATGAAAGTATGGTAGGGCACTCATTGGTTTGAGCATTGGCATACATATGCTTTGCAGTGCTGGAGAACATGGTGTAAATACAGCCCACTGGTTGGTTTGGGCCCTTCTGTCACCATTCGGGACTGAAGAGCATTAATCATGTACCTCATGCAGACCTTGCCATTGGGCTTCATTGAAAAATAATCTAATTTAGAAGTCGCCCAAGCCATTTTGCAATCCAGACTAATGAGGTAGCACTTTGCAAGTGCACAGCTGCTCTCACAAAGCTCTAGTGTAGCAATTAGTGATAGCTTTGATCCTCTGTTGCACTTAAGTATGGTCATAGTGTAGGGCCTGGGTCAGTTGTGGCTACTGCCTCCAGGCTCTCAGCACCACAGTGCAATTAGAGCTGGCCCTCTCTCTTCTTGATTGGATAAAAAGCGCAATGTTGGTGTAACCCACATCCTCATCCAATCTAGTTGATTTTAGATTTTTCCACAAATTATTGATGAGCAAACTTTGTATCAGCAAGGTTCAGGTATGGCCTTTTATCCTGTATCTAGGAGGAAGCTGGCATGGAAGCATAAAGCCAGCACAAACTGTGTGCTCAGGGGGATTCAGCAGAAATCGGCACATCTGATCCAGGTCAAATTTCTACTGCTGGTTTACACTGATTTAGTATTAATGATGTGGAACCATAGCCCTAGGCTTTCTATTCCAGGATCATTTAGTAGAGAATGAAAAGACCTCTGTGACTTTGGCTTTGGTTGTTTACCACATGCCCAGGTGAAAATATGTCAATATCAATCACAGACAGGTGGTTGATCTGAGACTAGCAGATTGAGTTAAATGATTTCTTACATCTTTGTTTTCCCATTTTCACCTTATAGTTCAATCTCCATTTGACTGGAGATATTCATGCTATAACTGCTGCAAATAACTTGCTCGCTGCTGCTATTGATGCGAGGATCTTGCATGAAAATACTCAGTCTGATAAGGTGAGAATTATTTTCTTATATCCACATGATGTATTTTTTTTCTTTTCAATTTTTCTATAGATTAGTATTTCAAAGTAGAATAATTACATTATTTATGATTTTGCCATGTGTGTGAATGGAAATTTTTGCTAGGACCATTCATTGTATGTTCTGCAGGGAAATAACTCCTTTTAAAGCTAAAAGTCAAGCTCATGATGTATTCTTGCTTATGATGTACCCTGAGAAGAGGATGCTGTGAGGAAAATAAATGAGATTCTCATCTTGCAATAAGGTTGTTGTGACCTGAACACAAACGATTTGAATCTTGGGAGGGAGAAGGAAAGGGAAGGATTCTCCTTGTTTTTTTGTTTGTTTATTATCTGATATTTATTTTGGCTGCCTAGATAAAAATGAACATGAATCTCTTGTCCTCTTGGCATGATACAAACATGCATTGAAGCCTGTTTGCAAACAATATTAGTAATATGAGTAATAAAACTGGTAGCAATTGGAGTACATTGACTAAAATTTTAATGGAGATTCCAATTTCAGAAATAAATTCTTCTGTGCAACATGAACATATAATAATTCTGGTAATTCATTTTAGACTGCTAAATCACAAGCATTACTGGAAGCCTACCTACTTTCTCAGAATTGTTTTTTAAGTGGCTAACCAGAAATCCACAACTTAATTGGAAAATTCTTACTGGAATTAATCTAAATAAAATAAAAGATCAGGGTTTCGTATAAATAGTATTTGGTTGTAAGATTTTCTTACATTAAATTGCCATGTGTTTTTTCTAGGCTTTGTATAACAGACTGGTTCCAGTAGTTAATGGTGTGAGAGGATTTTCTACTATTCAGCTTGCCCGTTTGAGAGTAAGTTGTTAATGTATTTTCTCCATAATTATAGTGTCTCTTCATAAAACATATTCTGTTATTGCAACTTGTTGCAAATTATTTGAGGTATGGGACTGAGTTTATGCAAACTTTCCACAAGAATTTATTGAGTCCAGACGTTTTCTGAAGGCATCTTCCTTGCAGTAATAGGATCTGGGTCTGATATTATTTTTATAAGTAGTATTTTTCACCATTTTCTTCTCTGAAATAAACTAATAATACTTTGTAAATACTGTATCTTTCCTGATGAAATACTAAGTTTAGAGTTCTTAAAATACTTCTCCTATTATGGTGAAATAACAGAGCAAAACACATTTTATAATATTTTCTGGCTTTGAAATTTATTATAGCATATACTTCTGAGAATGTATTAAAGTCTGTTTGACAGTGGTTTCCCACAAAGGGACAGAAATGCATTTGTTTCCATAGTATATCCCATTGTGCTTCCTGACTATTTCCAGAAGAGCTTCCTATGCAATTCATATCCGAATACCAAATCCAGATATGATGTTGCCAGTCATATAAATAAATGGAGAGCAGCACAACCCAGTACTCTTGGGGAAGGGTAATTTTGAACGTGAACCTTAAGGACAACTTCAGTCTTCTGCATCCAGTTCCATGGTTGTTGGCCTTTGAGGCCTCAGTGTGTGAGCCTCACCAGTGTTGCTCCAGAGCCTCTGGATGGTGATGGCTTCCTGCCAAGTGCACATGGAGCCACATTGGGAATATGGGCTGAAAAGCAGGAGAGGGGATTTGTTTATAAAAGAGACTTGCCAGCAACCTTCTAAGCGTTTGAGCTGCTTGGTTGTCTGGATGACCCTAAACGAAGATGTGGATTGCCTCTGTGGCAGGGCAGATCTTGCAGAAGTTTTGAGAAGGACATTGAGTTGTCTTCATTTTGCCCTTGTTCGTAGCCTGGTGTGTAGGGTTTAAAGTGGGCATGATGTCTGTGTTGTTCATAGCGTAACAAGCATCTCTGTAACAGAGAGAGATTTCTGTCTGTCCAAGGCTCTGCAACTGAAGAGGAAAAAGAAAAAAAGAAAAAAAAAAGTTAAGCTTTGTAAGATTCAAAAGATTCAAATAAGTATGTTACAATTCCCATTATAACTGAATTATTTTGAGTCTAATGATTTTTATACATAAAATTTAGATGGTGAAATGTTACTTTATAGGTAAAGGAGGGTGCATTTTTGTCCAAAAAGGAATATTAAGGTTGAAACTCCTCTTTTACATATGTGATTTGGGTGTTCAAGTACAGACAGTCCCATGCTGTTTTTTCCTAGCTTTTTTGCCTAACCTCTGGAACTGTTCTTCTCATTCCCTTGCTCTTCAATTCTTTTTCCCGTTTTCCCACCTGTAACTGGCCAAAGCCTCCCTACTTCCCCACTGCCCTTCGCTGCTGATGACCCGAGCTTTTCTTTGGTGCCTTGTGCACTTCAGCTCTGCTCGTTACTCTCTGTCAGCTTTTTCCCTGCTGCTTGGGTTTGACACCAGGGCTGCTGGGATGATCTGTTCACTTTTCAGTCCCAGTGTCCAGCTCTCCCTGTGCAGGACAGCTGAAAGCTATGCTGGAAATTTTGCCATGAGCCTCTGTTGAAAGATGCCTTGTGCAGATGTTATCATTGGGGAATTTAGCCACTAATGTTAACGGGCCCTGTCTAAGCACATTCACTAAGGAAAAAAAGCTACAAGATGCATTATTTGGCTAAGTATGTGAGTGGGTTTTCCTCTGGGTTTAGGGTGAGGGATGGTGATAAAAAGCATGCCTGTGTAATGAACTTTGCTCGCTTCAATGATCTTTTTATTAAAAATGGGGCAATCGAGTCTCCTACAGAGAAGGCTATTTTATTTGTAAATCTGTAATTTTGGATTGCCAGCCTTATTCTGCATTATTTGGATAATGTCTTCCAAAACTAAATTGTTTTGTGAATGACAGAGCCAATGAAGCCTGTTTTCCTTTGGATTTAAATATGATTTTCTTTTCTATGCCTTATTCTAGGCATTAGGCAGTAACTCTAGCTTCCAGCCTCTAACTTTTTGCAAGTCTTCAGTAATCTTGCTGCTTTCCCATATGACTCTCTGCTGTAGTATTCATATCACCCCTTTCTCAGCTTCCTCTCTTCATCAGTGTTCCTTGTTTCCCCCCACAGAGATTCCCAGCTCTGTCCCAAATCTCCAGTGCCCTTTCTGCTTCCACAGCATCTCTCTCTTTCGTTTGTAGAAGTTCCCTAAACTCATTCCCACAATACTTCTGCCGTCTTCTTATTCCTCTTACTGTGTTTGTCTTTGCACTGGTCAATGCATACGAGATCACATTTCTTGCAACAGGTTTGGAGCAAAGTATGTGTGGGGTTGCTGATCCGCACCTACTTGCTGCCTGCTGCACCCAACAGAGCAGGTGGGCACTGGTTTCTGACCACCTTCCCTTGACGGGGATGCTTCACTGGTATTTCTTCTCCATCTGTCTGCCTGTTTGCATTAAATATGTAGAAAACAATTTCCAAGACTAAGGCTGACTGTGAAATTCAGTTCAAATTCGATTAAAATGGATTCAAAAAATATTGACAGGACACTGACCATTGAAGATGGTAAGCCTTGCTTCATGAAAACTGTGGAGTTTTAAAACTGTGGAGTGGAAATCTGTAGGTAGCAGTTTCTTTGGGGGTAACAAATGTCAGAAATGGCGGGTTGTTTCTCAACAGCTTTTTTTCCTTCTCTTTTGAGTGGGAAATGCCCCAATGCATGTGTCTGCTTTTGAAATGGAGCTTCCCAGGCAGTCTGAGAGGCTGATCTTCAATAGGGAGCAAGGAGGAAACACTTTTAATACTCTTGAAAGGATTTTCCTAGCTTTCATTAAAAATGACTGGCTTTATCAAAGTGACTGATAAGGTTGATTTTCTCCTTGGCTTATGTTAAGAGCTTCTGTGTAAAAAAAGATCTTTTATTTAATAGCCTACATTTTTACTTGTTTTTCGTTTCCTTTCTCCATCCTTATTTGCCTACTTTAGTAACAGATTTCTTCCTGTGTGCTTTCATAAATAGTGTCAGCTCTGATTTATTTTCTTTCCCAAATGCTTGTTTAACAGGAGAGAGATAAACCAAACCAGCTATACCTTTTGAAGATCCACTTTATTGCCTTTATTTATCTTCTTTTTTTCTCTAGAGGCTGGGGATAAATAAGACTGATCCTAGTACTTTAACAGAAGAGGAGATCAGCAAATTTGTGCGCCTTGATATTGACCCGTCAACTATAACATGGCAAAGAGGTATGTAATCCGAAAGCCCAGAAAGCCTCACTTTTGGGCTGTTAAATTATGAATTTTTTTTTTTAATTCCTCTTGGTTAAATATCCGTAGTAATTCAAGAGACTTCAAATTTTGAGTGATGGATTAGCCTGTGAAAGGTAAGCAGCTTGGGTAGCTCAGAGACTTAAACAAACAAACAAAAAACCCAAAGAATTCTAATGCCTATTGTTTATTTTTGGAAAAGTGTTGAGCTGTTGTTTGGATGGTTGTGAAGAAGAGGTGAAAGATGCAGTTTCACCTCCTCTTCATAACGAAGTTGATTGCCAAATGGACTATTTGGCTGAGCATCACCAAATGAGCTAAATCTCTTGAGAAGCCAGAAGCCTTGGCTGAGCTCAGTACTGTGTCCTTTATGTGCCAGCCACCTCAAACTTGGGATATTTTCTCAAGATAGCTCAAGAATGTAACATGAGATATTTCTTATTAGTGACATTGTATTTGTGCACGGAAGAGAGCTGTATTGGCATAAAGGACTAATATAGCAGTGTAAGGCAACTCTTGTTTTGATCAGCACAGGTTTGAGAGGAGGCAATGTTACTCAACAGCTGTCAAGTAAATTACTCAGTTCATCTCAATCAAATGCTGGGGAAGGTTTTGTGCACGTCATAGCAATTGGTGTGGAATATTTTAAATATTACCAGAAAAAAAAAGGGGGGTTTAATAGTGCTTTAAATTTGAAAGTGTTTATTTTGGGAATGTTTGTGAAGCTTGATTCCTACCAAAAGATTTACTGAGTGGGGCAAAAGAGAGAGCTGTCAGATCATCTGAAAATGCCTTATAATCAGGATCCTTCTCCTTAGAGAGGGTCATAAGCTTAAAGTTTATTGTCATCTTACAGAAGATTTTACAGATACAACACACTAAAAAGAAGGAAAGCTGCCCCTTTCTGTGGTATCTAGGTCCTTTGTCGTCTGGAGGACAAGGTCCTCTGGAGGATCAGAAAGTAGATGCATTAAACCTAACACTGCATTTTGGTTGAACCTAATTTTTCCCTGAGTGTTTACTTTGGGTAAAGAAGATTGGAGGAGAACTAAAAATTATTTTTATGGCAAAGAAAAAATCTTCCTCATTTTTCTGCTTCTAAGTGCAGCTATTGGAATCTTCCTGGAGAATTAATTTTGACAGTAGTGAGAGAGCTGGTGTGACCCAGTGACCAGAAAGAGTTGCAGCTGGTAGCTACAATTTAATGGTAAGGGTGTTAAGGTTACTTGAATGCATCAAAAAGAACTGGATAAAACACTGCCTGCTGGCTGTCCAAGCTGATGCAAGGACTAGTTCATGCTCTCAGCAGTATCTGAGAGGAGGCAGAGGAAGGCCAGTAAGGTCTGCTTAAGGCTGTCAGCAGAGTGAGCTCCCTATGAGGAGAGGGGATAAGCTCGTGCCCTTGAGAAGAGCTGCCCATATGGCTTTGTGGTGGCATATGGTCCCCCAGCTTGGCACAAGCCTGCTGCTTCCTCCTGCTCTGTTCACGGTTCCTGCCAGTGCTGTAGTAGTTTAGAGTGTGGTTTTGCATAAATAGAAACCAAGAGAAGTTAACAGTATAAATAAATAAAAACTGAAATATGTTAACCGCGTCTGTTTTGTGCCATCCCTTACATGGGATTCCCGAGGAAATCAGGGGCCTGAACACCATGGAAGAAAGAGTATGTGGCATGTTTACAGCAGCCCCATGTGAAATGCCCAAGACGCGGAGGTGACTGAGATCTTGCTTTTCTCAACCTACTGGAGCTTGTGTAGAACTGAGCTTCTGAATCCCTCTTGTCCTTGGGTAATTGCATTGACCTTTTCTGCACAGACAAATTTGTTAATCCGTAAAAACCAGCATGAGCACTGATGGAGGGAGGAGGCATAGTCACTCCCTCTAGTATAGGCAGCTCCCAAGGAAATCTGCCTTATATGTTATACATTCTCTTTCTTATATTGAATATGCCTCAAATCTGAATTTCCTGGAAAAAAAATGACCTGATTGCCAGGTTGTGGGTTAAATTGGTCAAGAGAACCTTCTACCTCCCTTTCTTTAGGATTGCTGCAGGAGGATCAAAAGATCGTAGGGCCAAAGGGATCACTATCCCAGGAAAGAAGTCCTGCAGACTGGTCTTTGCTTGTAACAATGAAAAACATCCTCCTGGTGTTTCCTGCTAAGAAACATCATGATCAGGTCACGATTCTTCCTTTTGGTTCCTACAAAGGCATGTCCAAAATTCTCCAAGAAGGGAGAATTTGGATTGTTGCAACATAAACCAAGTTAGCAGTTCCACAGCATGGTTTGGACATGCCCTTGCAATACCCAGAGTGCTTCCAGGTTAGGAAGACCGTTGTCTGGAACTGAAGATACGTTAAATAACAGATGCTTGGTCTTGGCAGCTGGAAAAAAAAATTCTCTGAATGCTCCCCAGCTGAATGTGGAGTTAGTTACTGTGATGTGCGATAAAATGACTTGTCTTGAAGAATCAATCTGACAACATAATCATCCTTAAAAGAAAAGCAGACCAAGTTTAAGCTGTATCTTGTAGTCTTAAATATCAACTTTTAACAAGTCAATAAAGAGGTAAATGATTTGAGATAGATCTGAGGTGCTTTGTAGCTACCAAGGCATATTTTTCTTGTGGTAAAATATTAAGTTGTGCATTAAAATGTCAAGCATCTGTTAGCTTCAGATATTGTTGGGAGAAATATTGCTTCTGTTATTTCAAACTGTCATCCAGAGATATCAAATAGCGGAGAAGAAACTAAGTCAGTGCCACTGCTAACATGCAGAGGCCTGTTTATCTGCTTGCCCTGTGCTGTGCAAGTAGTTGAATCTTAGGTGTAGTAAAAACATGCAAAATTCTTGGAAAGAATTAAGATCTCTAGCTCTTTGATAATATGGTTTTCTTTTTCCCTTAATTTAGTGGTGGATACCAATGACAGATTCCTACGGAAAATTACAATTGGCCAGGCAAATACAGAGAAGGGATTTGTCCGTCAGGTATGTAAAGGCAATTACTATAACTTACTCCGGACAGACTTTGCTCTAGAGACTGGGAGATGTTTGCCAGCCTGTAACTCTTTCCACAAGTCTCTTTGAATTGCAATGCTAACATCTGCTGATGTGTGTAGTAGTGTTGCAGTGAAGCCAGTGATGTTAATGAGTAACAGAGCCTCAAGTTTCAGAAACAATTCAAAGTATACTGCACAATGTGTGGAAAGCACTTGAAAAATTTGCAAATATTGGGGAATGATGGAAACTTATTAAAGATATGGCTGCTAAACTGCATGCCAGACTTCCCTGATACTATTTGAATAAGTATATCTGTGAGTAAATAGTGTAAATTCAATTATGTAAATGTGAGTGAATAGTGTGAGTAAATATAAGTAAATCCAGTATAGAATAACAGCATTAGATGGAGCAAACTCATTTGCTTCTAATTCAAGAAAGATTGTTGTAATTTAACACTCTGGATAACCACATTCATGAGGTTCTGACTATTTGGTGTGAAGATAAATACTTAGTGTGGTATAGATGGGGCATCACTTCTTGTGGAACTGACAACTTTAATTTTTCTTGATTTCACATATGATGTGTTGTGCCTCAATAAAGAGTAGAAAAATAGTCTCACAGGAATTTTAATCTTTTTACTTAATTAAATAGAACAGTCACATTTTAAAGAGATATGCTTTATTTTTGTTTTGAATATATGGAGTAGAGACTTTTCTATAACTTACAAAAAATGCAAATCAGCTAATACTCATCTTTGGTAATGGGCTGGGACTGTAAATATGGTACGTGTTTTTTCAACACTCGAGACATTTTCCTGTGTTTAGATTTATCAGTGATTCATCATTCTTAGCTTTAGGCCGCATTCTGCCAGGCTTTTTTGAACTGCTTTGCTACCATAATTATTATGTGGGTTGTTTTCCTACAAAATACTGTCAACATAAGACTGTCAAGTGTTGCTTCTGAACTGCTTTGGCCAAAGTGGCCTTGGTGCATCCGGTTTTGGTGTCTTGGACTGATGCACACATCCATTCATGTTTTAGCATGTTTTTACTGACTCGAGAAATAAAGAGCGGTTAGTGAAGCTCATTTCAGAGCGTAGCCAGCAAGCCAGATAAAACAGGACTTCATAGCTAACAGATGCATTTTATAAATATTTGGAGTGATGTTCCAGCATTCTGAAAATCAATGACACCTGTGCATAATGGCAGAGCACAGCAGGAGCAAAAGCCTGCATTTTAATGAACAGGGATGCTGTGGTTTCTTAAGAGTATTACATGACTGATGGCCTTGATCCTGCAATTGAATCCATGTGGGTGGATCCTTTCATCAATAGAGAACGGATTTTACAGCTCAGGCTTCTGTCAGCACTTCATAGGTGTATAAGGGTTATTAGAGTTAAAACAGCACCTGCTATCACAGCCTTGTGTCTGTTTTTTCAATAAAATACTGTGTCATTCTTTAAGCATCTACCTGGGGAATTTTTTTCCTGTCCTTTTTTATGCTTCAACACTGCAGTAGTATGTCTAATAAAATCTTTATTTTGTATATCTTGATGAACATCCTGCTAAAGTCAGATAACATTCCAGTATATGGGTTGGGCCTAGCTTTCTCAGGCTTTTTGCCTGCATTAAGTGCACTGCAGTGTCTTTCATGGCACGTTCTTGTCCTTGAAGCGATGGTAGCGTCCATTTAATCCCAGCAGTAACAGCGTTCACCATGAGCTCTATTTTGTTGTGGTCCTACTGCGCCTTGGAAGAAAGAAATGGCTTTAGAATTTCAGAATTTCAGCTGAATCCTATCGGGAATGCCTGTATTCTCGAGGTAGCTTTCATTATTTATGGTATATATACCTCTGCCTGACTGAGGCTCAAGTCAGGAAGGTGCTTATGTGTCCTCACAGGTTGTGATGGATTGTGCAGGTGTGCAGAGGTGAAGTACGGACCAATCCAGGTGGTTTTTTTCTACATAGGTAATGGAGTGGTGTCAATTAATACATTTTCTATAGACTTAAATTCATTGGGGCTGGAGAGATTCTTAAAGAAGCTGCAGTTCCTCGGTCCCACATCACATTCCTGTCACGTTATCACCTTGTTCATTTCCTAGCAGCATGTGACCTGGGCTTTTCTAGTACTAAAATAGTACACAAAATTACTAATTTATATCACAATTTTAAAAAATAAGGGCCATGGCTCATGTTATGTTGAAGTGCTGGACAGTATGACTAATAGCAGTAAGTCTGTTGCTGCAAATAGTTTTTGTGTTCTTTCTTTTTCTGGTATGATTGTTCATAACCAAAGAGAGTGCAGGGGTGAATATGTTTTATATCATCAAGATAAAGCTCAGGGCCCGACGAGCTAAACTCTAAATTTTGAATTTCTATAGAAAAAGAATGATTAAGAAGAGATCAAAAGAATGAACAAGAATGTTTTTGAAACCCGAATTAAAGTAATAATAAAAAGATTTTGGAGGCGTTACAGATAGAGGGGGGAAAAAAATCTGTGCTCATGCCAGAGAAGTTGAAAATACATCTGGTCTTTTTTCTTTTTTTTTTTCCACAGTAAAAAAAGAAATAAAAATCTTGGTCCTTGAGGGAGATTCTAATAAGGATAGTGGGAGCTGAGGAGCTAAGCAGTCAAGATGGATCCCCAAGTAGATGAAATGTAGCATACAATATAAATGAGGAAATACAAATGAAGTGTTTGAAGTGGGTTTCAGTTTAGAATTATTTAAATTCCAGTGTGACATCTGTCTTTCCTTTGTCTGTTCCTGACAGTTCCCTGTGAGTGTTTGACCTGACTTTGATTTGATTTTCTTTTGTATTTTACAGGCTCAGTTTGATATTGCTGTTGCAAGTGAAATTATGGCCATTTTGGCACTTACCTCCGGCCTTGCAGATATGAAGGAGAGGCTGGGGAAAATGGTGGTGGCTAATGATAAAAAGGGACAACCAGTAACAGCAGAGGATTTGGTATGTACACTGCTGCAGACCTGTAAATAACCTTTGATTCATATGTTTTGCCCCTTGAAGCAGCAGAAGAGCAGGTGAGTGCCAAGGTTTTTGTTTCAAGCAGCGCAGTCAGATATTGAAGAAAATCATCATCTGGGCCAAAACTTGCCTGTAATGAGAACAAGATGTGAAATGAACTTGTCCAAGTCTTTTGGTAACATCTGGTTCACGAAATCTCTGGTCTGCAGAACCTGCTTGGATAGATTTCCACAATACTTGAGGCAAACAAATTTGGTGCTGGGGAGAGTCAAAGAATGCAGGCTGCTCTTGGAGAAAGCTGGTAATATTTGCTACTGTACTTGCCAAGGATGTTCAAATGCTACAGTGATAGTTACTATATGAATCCTTACACTGCTAAGATGAAATTAAAACAAGTTATTCCTAATTCAGGAGGTATTATTACTTCTGGGAAAATGGCTATATCTTTGCATCATTAAGACCTTTTTTCTCCATATATGTTTTCTGATTGCTGCTTACTCCTTCCCTATTCCAGCTGCTGCAAGTCCATCTATCCCTTGCACTGAATCCTAGCACTGTGGCCAGGCTGTGACTCGGGAGGTCATGGTTGGAAGTTCAGCTCATGCTGGGCTATGGCAAGTTCTGGTGCAGCCAGACCTTCCAGTAAGCCCTCACCATCTGACCCCTATGCCAGGAGCAAGTTCACTGTGATTGCCACCAATTTACCGTAACATTACTATGCTGAAGCCTAGTGGTCAAGTTAAGATCATATACTGCAGATTGACAGTGCACCCTAAATATAATAAATGCTATAATTCTTCCCTTTCTCGTGCTATCTGTCATCCAAATATCCTCTTGCAGCAACCACAGCGTGCCTTGGAGCTGTGATTTCAAGCCACCCTGCTGACGATAGCTGCCTGTATCACACGGACCCATTTCCCTTATGTAGCACAGTGTTTTCTCCTGCTTGTCCCCTTTGTGTGGACTTCTGCAGAAGCTTGCTGCTTTTTTTTTCAGCAAGAGAAGGAACCAGGATCCTGTCCTATCAACAAAGACAGCAAAGCTGTAAGCCAGAAATACCTTCACAGCTGTAACAAACTCCATTTTAACAAGGATTTCTGAAAATAACATCTAGCTCTTCTGGATTTAAGATTGAAATTAAGAGTGATAAAGCTGCAAAAAAATCTAAATACAGTCGTCATTAAAATTCAACCCAAATTTGCTGTTATGCAGGCAGATTTTGTAGGGAATTCAAATCGTAAGACACTTTTGCCTATGTCAGGAGTTTGAATGTCAAAAATGAGTAAGTGCAAGAAATGTATTTTGTATTAGAGCTGTTTAAGTTTTGATACTCCATTTCAATTCCTTACCTTAATTTTGGCCCAATAGAGTGGTGGTGAGGGAGTTACTTTATAATGCATATGCAACAACTTCAAAAAAAAATCAGTGTCAGGATTAAATCTGTACATTTAAAAGATTAAAACAATCTTAATGCTAACTTGCTTTTTAAGGTATTAATGCCACAAAATATTTAACCTGCTTTTCAACCACTTAGTGTTCTTCAGCCTTTGCTAGATGAAAGCAGTTGCTCTCCACAGAAAGTGGAGCAGTAGTCTCTTTCCCCTATAATTGCTCTGTAGGAAGGTAGGGCTGAAATTATGAACAGTGCACAAAAAGCTTTGAATTTTTTGTGCCTATAAAATGAAAGCAGCACTCAGTAAAATGTGTGTTACTAATTAGATTTTGTTTGACCCTTTTAAAAAAATAAAACCAAACTTCTTATGCTTCGTGTCTCCATCACTTAACAGTGTCACTTGTGCTGAACATATGCTTCCAGTACGAGTTTAGAACAGTGTTCTGTATTATACAAAAGAAAAACTGCCTGAAGAGGAAAGAATTGGTCACAAGTGTGATGACCATCTGTGGCTCTGTATTTGCATTTTTTGTTGTCTGCAAGGTCCCCTCATCCAACAGTGCACAAGAAGAATCAGGGTGCAAATGAGGATTATGAAATGGAGACGCCTGCCTGCTCTATTGCACAGTGCATGGCAAATGAGCATGGGAACTGTAGGGAAAGAAAAGGAAAGGGGTTGTAGTGTTAAGGCAGCGAAGAGACTTTCTGGAGAGTTAGATTCTATTCCAGTGTTTTTCATGGAGCTTCAGTGCAGTGTTGTGTCCATACAGATTGATTCTTACAGGCCGTGAGAAACTGTATTTTCCTCAATTTGGTTTGATACCCAGGCTCTAAAGAGTGGAAATCTATTGAAATATCATCAGGAACCTTGAATTAAGTGAAATGATTTTTAACATGTCTCAGGTTGAGCAACCAAAATTAATGAATACTTTTGACTTTAAACCTTGTGTATCATGTTATTTCTTCGGAAAACACACAGGGGCTGTAAATAGTGGTGAAACACTCAGATGCTCTGTTTCTGGGATTTAGAAATTGGTTAAGGAAATTTCCCAAAAGGAATTTGGCTAAGATTTCTTTATCAAGTTAGGTGTTGGGTATTTGGTGTAGGGCAAGATACATGTGAATAGCTGATGTGTACTGTATCAAGTAAAATCCTCTGGAGTAGATTCATATGCACAAGACAAAAAAAAGATAAATTTCAGTTCTGTGAGGCTGTTCCTTCTTCTCTGCTCCTAGTTGTCAGTCTTTTGCAACAGCTTGCAACTAAAGCTAGTTTCCAGCAGACACATTTGATTGCAGAATCAGCTCTTTCTCCTGCTGCCTGTGCTGTTGCTGCGCGTGCTGCACGCCTGGCTTTGCACTCCATGTCAGCAAGAGGATTCCTGTAGCAGCTCCAGAGAAGGGATCTTGGCTCATGGTCCAGATGCCCGGGCCCTGGCTGGTCCAGCCTAGTGCAGACCCCTGCTGTAGTTGCCTCAGCCAAGTGTAGGTGGGAAGCTCACAGGTTGCTCTGGCTGAAACCTGGTGGGGAGCACGGAGCAGTGCTAAGCATCACTACTGATGAACGCTGCTGAACTGCAATTTTGCTTTCCCCACTATTTATTATCTTGCACAAATTTTCAGAGATGAGAAGAGGTAGGATACAAAGCTGCTCTCCTCTTGAATTTTCATCCTCCTTCCAAATCAAGGGCAGAGAGGAGGTAAAGGTTTGCAGCTTGGAAGGAAAACACATGAATGTAGGAAAAACAATACTGTCACTCCAGGAGCAACTCTATCATTTTGGTTTGAAGTTTCATAAAATCAAGATTAAAAGCTTGAATCTGACTTTGCATGGAATGTTTTTAACCCAAGGAACTGTAATCACGTGTAGGTTTTACAAATTTTAAAGACAGTTTTATAATGCAAAATGTCACATGACCTTAACAGTGAGTGGTGGAGGTCAGTTCTACCTAAAGGTTTAAAAAAATGGGGATCATGTTTTGTATGTTGCCCAGATTGCCTTTTCACAAGCTTAAATGTTTGACACAAATCCTCAGTTCGTTGAAATCTAATTGAACTAAAACCACTAAACCCTTTTCTATAATTTGTTTCCAGATGTACACAAAATATACTTCATAAAAATACAATTGCTCTTAACTTTGACTTTATATGCAATGTATTTATCAAAATACAATAGCACAATGTAAAACATACATTGACAGATACAAACCAGATGTGGATAAAGGCTAGGAGTCAGAGGAAAAAAAGATAAATTGAATACTTTATGAATTGAGAAGACTCCTTCCACAAGAGTAATAGATTAAATATCTAGCCTCTATAGTGGAACATACAGAATTCTTTGCCAAAATATGGTGTTCATTCCACAGTATTTTGAAGACTGAATTGCATTTTTGCTTTTACAATATATTAGAATTGTGATGGACACATACCATATTTTCACATTAAATTAAATGGGTATGTATGCCCTAGATTAGTATTTCATCAACCATAAAGAATATTAAATAAATATGTTGCTATTTTTTTTAAGGAAGGCTGCTTCTCAGTTTACTTTCTCAACCGTGCTGTTAGATGTCAGTAATTCTAGGATCAAAAAGATAGAAAGATAGCTTCATATTTGTTTTTATAAATGATCTGAATGGCTGAACATATTTTCCTGCCCAGTTCATCAAAAATATTTTGCACATCCTTTATTTCAAAAACAGGTAGTTGCTGTTCTTCTCAGCTAGCAGTTGGAGGTTTAATATTTTTAAGAACTGATATTGCAGAAAAATATTGCCAATTTTGTTACAGGCTATTGTTTCCAACAAAGGAGGTGTAAGACTATCTCATTTCTTGTTAAAAAAAAAAAAAAATCTGCCTTTCGTTGATTTTGTAGTAGTTATTCTCAAGTACCCTTTTTGTGATCTAATGCTGGCCTTCATTTCCAGTTTTGATGGACTTCAGAGACTGCTTCTCTGAAGGTCTGTTTGAGAGGATGGGACTTCCATCTGAGTGTCTTTTTTTCCTTTGTCAGTTAGCGATTTTTGCTCTCCTGGCAAACATTCCTGTCCCGGTGGCTCAGGGATAGATCAGAAGGGTGGAATCTGCAGAAGTTCCAGGAGGGAAACTCGAGACTGCTGGGTATCCATATACACATTTGATTCTTCATCCTTCTTATTTCTTCTGAGACGGAGCAAGTTGGTGGGAAATAGCAGCCCTTAGGTTCTTACATGGTTAAATTGTTTAAATGCTGTATGTGTGTCTAAGCCTGTAAGTCTTTTGTAAAATTTTTAGCGAAATTTTATTCATCCCCTCTGAAGTAGAAAGGGAAGCCTGATTGCTTAAATATTTTTGAGAATCAGTTCCAGAATTTTGAACTAACTGTGACATTTGTTTGCTAGATGCATAGAAGACTGGGCATGTGGAAGAACGACAAGAACTTTTATTTTGACAAAAACATGACAGCCGGATAGGAAGATTTTTTGGCTGTTTAGTTTTTAAGAACTGTTGTTGATGCAAAACATAGTTTTGGAAGGCAGGACGTGGCAGGCAGTTAGATGAGATGTGTGCAAATTGGAGTCGTTTTGCATCTTTTTTTCTTTGCCCTCAGATTCAGATACTATGAGTCGTTGTTGAGCGATGCACGTCTGCGTGTATTAGGGAAGAATGAAGTTTACCCCAGAGAGAAAGGTGTAGGAGTGAAGGAAGGAAGGAAAAAATTAATATTTAATATTTTTTTTTCTTTTTCTTCTTTTCTTCTTTTCCCTCTAAGCCTTCTTTCCTGCTTCTTTCCGTTTAACTTCACGTGAGTCAGCAAACAACTGTTTGCAGGCTTGCTTTCAATGAGCTGATGTCGTGTGGTGAATGGTGCAGACAACTGAACCCGCTGATCGGCTGCCTCCAGCTGGCCTGAGTTAACGCTCGTCAGTCCTTGGGCAGGTTCCCCCAGAAGAGCATCAGGGCTGATGGTGGCTGATCAGGTAGTTAACCTTGCCATTGACCTGGTGGAAGGTCTGTCTCATGTAAAGTTTTCCATTTGCCTTTTTTTTCGTTTTTCTTCAGAAAGCTGACTAGCTATTACAACTGCTTCTCAGATGCTAAAACATCTCAGTGATCATCCACTGAGAATATCAGCAGCTGTTTCTCTTTTGTGGTAGTAATTGAAGGCAAATGAATAGCTCATGCCCTGTGATGCAGACAAAAATGGAGATATGGGAAGAAAAGCTTAAAATTTATATATATTTTTTCCTCAGATTAGATTTCTGTTACCTGCAGCCTACTGACTGGTGTGTGTAGGTGGTACTGCTTTCCAGGAGATAGAATAAACACAGCTAAGCCAGTTGTTATGTTTTTTGCTACTAACAGCTGGAAGGAGCATCCTTTGCCTCAGCTGAGGGTTGAGGGGAAGAGCTCTGCTGTTGTGAGAAACTCTGTCCCAGGTACTTGAGCACTACCTGACACACCTGAAAAGCAACACATTTATAAAACTGTTAATTAATGACACTGAAAACTCTATTTATCCCAATACAAAATATGAACTCATTACAATTGGAGAAAACATATTTAATTTGCTAAAATGGTAGGCTTAAAACTGAGTTTTAATGCAAATATTGCTAACAATTTAACTTGTTTTGTTTCATCTTAAATAGTAAGAGTGGAGGCTGGAAAAGGCATTATTTTGCTTTGTAAATATGTCCGACTTCTAAATGAGTAAATTGTCCTTATGAAGCAAGTAGCCATATGGAACAGATTTAAAAATTAAAAATCTAAAAAAATACTCACTTTAAAAACATTTACAAAATGACTAAAATGCAAGAAATCAAAGGCAATGACAGTAGCAACTACTTTTACAGAGTCATAAAATCAAAACTTATTTATGCACAAAATATTGAAGTGAGATTTATTTTAACAGCAGAAAATTTTATGGGATACTGGTTAAATGAACTTTATGAATCATTAGCTTTCCAGGGAGTTTTGTGCTTAATTTCTTTTTGAAGTTCTTTGTCCAGAACAAGTAGCTTATAATCTTAGCAATTAAAACAATCTGTAGCTATAAAGGGACTTGAGGAAGTGAAAAGGAACAGTGATTTCATTTGTCCTTTTAACATATTTTCTACTTTTTTGGTCCTTCAGCTTTGGATTCACATCCAAAGAGAGAGTAGTTGGGCACATGAAGATGAGAGAGCCACTCATTGTGAAAGAGCTGAGATTTTGGAATTTTCTTGGGATTTGAGCCTTAAAGCTGGGAATAGAACTTCTATTAACATATTAACATGTGCATCTGGAAATTAACATGTACATCTGGAAATCTAGCGTGTGCTAATTCTGATGAGAGAAAAGTATCCAGTTTCTCATATTGTTTCTTTGTAGGTCTGTTTGTAGCTATACATAGTGGAAGTCTGTAAATTGCAAAGAACAAAAGCATTTTCCTATTCTCTGTCCTCAGTCTCTCCAGATACTTGCTATGTTTTAGCAGAAAACAATTTTTACAGTTAGTTTTTTATTCGTTTTTAATCGAGCCTGAAAATGATGTTTTTCTTCTGAAGTTGGTGTTCACATGTGAAAATTTTAATTTCTATAAAACATTCTCTTTATAAAATGACCTATCTCAATGTCATGTTGATCTGCCTATCATTAGAATTCTCATGCAAATTTTGATTGCTCAAATTTTGGCTTAATGGGTTCTTTATTTGAACAAAATTCTTTGTCTCTTAGTGAGCTAATCAGAGAATAGACCCACATTTTGAAGTCTTCATTTTAGACAGTTTACAACAGCTGCTCTTTTCATTTGGTTTTAATGTTTCTTTCAAAGACAATAATATCTTAAAATCTGTTTTTCATGTTCTCTGGCAGACTTGTGAGCCTCGCCTTATAGTAATACTTTTTTTAATTCATGAACTAGTTCTTTAAAGCCAAATACATTTTCTTCCCAAAAATCAATGTAATTTGTGAACAAATTGGAATATATACTTGTGGTTTCCAGATAGCACTCTTCTTGTAATCTCATAGTGCTGTGCATGTTCTGTAGCCAGCTTTTATAAAATAAACATTGATACTTAGTATACCTGTGTAGTGACAACATGTTTTTGTGATTAGTTTAAATTTAGAGTGACATGTGTACTCAATACTCAGTAATTTTTTTAGGAAGGAGTAAGACTTTTGCAACTAAATTGTAGCAGTTCATTCAGTTTTTCTCCTCTTTCTACACTATAAAGTACGTCAAATGTGTAATCTCGTGGTACCTTAGTTAGCTATCCCTAGACAAAGCTGGGTCTGCTTTCCTCCTCTTTCTATTGCTCGTGTATTTACACAGATCTTTCAAATACCCTTTCTGGTTCTTGATAACTATTGACTGGGTCTGTTGATGTCCCTTTGGAGTCCCTACAGGAGTGAAATACACCTTTCATTTCCTCAGGCAGTTTTAGCAAGTTATTGCCCTCTTGATTGCTCACGTCTCTGGGTGGCCTTTGCTTCAAATTCCTTTTTCACTCCTGCACACATCTTCACTCTTGTTGCTTAATAAGTTTGCTTCAATTCTCTCTCTGAAATGAAAAGACTATTTAGCTGCTGTCTTTTAGGGGTATTCAGAGTAAATTCATTAATATTTCTGGAATATTTTGGAAATACAGTATATTAGAATTATTGAGCTGAATAAATTTGCTATATAACAGTGTAACACTGCTCATCCCTTGTGGTTTCTCAACACACTGTTGAGAAGACGTTTTCTCCTTTAAACTGTAAGGTCTCTCTGTTTTAACTGTAAGCCTATCCTTAGAGCTGATACCCTTAAAATGCAAACTTTGTTGTTGTTGTTTCTTTAGGGAGTAACGGGTGCTTTGGCAGTTTTGATGAAAGACGCCATTAAGCCAACGCTGATGCAGACACTAGAGGTGAGTGAGGCTTGAGATGTCAACTCTTCTCCTCTAGCTTTCAGATTCCACCTAGCTCTTGCCATGACCTGTCTCCAGCAATGGTCCTCAACATGCAGGGTTCAGGCTGGTATCAATGCCATAAAGGCATTTTAGCAGAGATGTTCATTTATATATGTTAACCGATCAATTTGAGCTGCATTTATACCCTTCTGGTGTTTGGGAGAGAGGGGGTTGTTTGTTTTTTGTTCTTTTATTTCTTTTTTGGGGAAATAATGGCCTCGAGCTGCTGGTGCGTGCTGGAAGGGCAGTTGGAGCTTCTGAGGCCTAAGGCCCCTTCTGCTTCCCATCTCTCTCTGCTTGGGATGTTCCCATCTCATACGTTGCTTGCTTTGCACTTATGTTCCAGCGGTGATTCCCACAGCCCACTGTTTTCAGTGGAAGGCTGGTGCTTCTCTGAGGCCATTCTCTTCTGTGTTACATTTCATGTTCTTCAAAATACATGAGGGTTGTTTCTTCCTCTTTGTGCTTCCGAGTACCTTCATTGACCAAATGAAGCTTTCCAAAGTAATGATTTATGTTCACCCCGGTGGACTTTCTGCCAAGAGCTTGAAGAATTGCTTGACTTTTCAAGCAGTGCTTGAAGGGTATGGTTACCTTTGGGACTGGCCAGTCCACTCCTGGCTTTTGAATGCTAAGCCCAATGCTAAAGAGTGTTCTTGGGGAGACGGAGGAAGAAAAGAGGGTAAATAGCAAAGGAGTTTTGAAAACCAAAGGCATTTGGGGAAAAACTAGAGTAATGCATGTTATTGCAAACTAGACTATCAAATCTCATAGCTGGAATATTTCACAGCAATTCCTGGTGTCGTGAAAATTCTAAGTATTTAGAAGAATACCAGTACGGTCCCTGACTTCATTTTCTATGCCATGTCAAAGTGTTAACTACATTTTTACTGTAGTGTTTGAATCTTGATAACTCACATCTCTCAGGGAATATTAGAAAAACAGGATATAGAAAAACTATTATTTTTCTTTAGCCAGATTGATTGACTTCTGCTAAGTTCATTTGTTATTTTGATGTGGTTGCATGAAGAATGTATGTGTGTCAGGGCTTTACTGTAACATCCAATAACTGAAATTGGAGAAAGTGTAGAAAAAGAAGTATTTCACAGCCAGAAATATGTATTAAATTGCCACTTAGATGATTGTGTGCACTAAGCATCAGTCACATAGTAGCTCTGCTTCTGTTTAATCTGCAACTCTATTAACACCTTGTGTATTTGTTAGAAAATAATGCAGTAGTTGCAGTGTTCTAAAGGGTGGTTATAAATGTCAGAATCATTTCTTTTGATTGATAGACATTTGGTTCTGGGAAATTCACCCTTTTTTCTTTCCACTTATTTATTTTCACATTTCTAAGCAGCAGTTTCTCCCTTTAATGTGGTATTCTTTTCTGGTCCAATCTGTGCAATGGCTGAAACATCTGTCAACCTTCATCAAACACTGTTGCTGATTAGGTGATCCCTGACTGCAGTAGCTAAGGATTTTTTTTTCCTAAAATTCTTATTATAGAATTAACTTTTCAAACTACAGCAAACTCAAGTAATTCAGAGGACTGCTTCATGCTCCACTCCTACGTTTTGAATCTCAAAGACAAACTTTTGTTGCCCTTTGAATACTGCTTGGTGTGCAAGGCCAGGAATCCTATCCAAGCACCTATCCAAGAATGAAAATCCTCTCCACTTCACAACAGCTGCATCAGTAGGTCCTGCGGCAAGGGTGGCCAGGGTCTACATCATGCTTGTGGTGAAACACTGAATAAATATGCTTGCACTAAACATAGATGCAGCTTTGAGTGTGCACTTGTGGGCACTTGTCCTGCAAGGAGGGATGAAACTGCTCGCTGAGGCAGGTCTTGCAGCTCAGTAGCACTGGAGAATGGTAAAAAGAGTCCCTGAGAAGGGACAGCGGGAGATCTTTAGGGTGACTTCTAGATCATACTGGCAGTTAATTTGGGGTGATCTGCAGGAGCAGTGTCTGTTGTTAGCAGCAGGTGAAAGAAGCCATTCCAGCGACAGCCCTGTTGACTCCTTTCTGTGATCTTGAGAAGATCCTATAGAGGGGTGTTCTTCAAGCTGTGGCCTATAGCAATCTGAGGAGTTGCTTCTAAGGAGCCTGTGAAATACACGAAAAGAACAGCCAGCTCAGCAAACCATAATTAGCTTTATGGGAGTGCATAAAGCAAATTAGCTTTATGGGAGCGCATGCATGCGCTGGAGAAAGGATTATAGGTTCGTAAATCAGAAATGACTGAATTTCTGAAATGACTGAATTATAGGTTCAGAATCAGAAATGACTGAATTATAGGTTCGTAAATCAGAAATGACTGAATGCCAATTCCACACAGAACTGAACTGCCAACTTACGTATGAATGCTTTTTTTATGGGTGAGTTGATGTGTACATTTTTTTTTTAATTTTTTTTTTTTTAATTTTTTTTAAGAGGCTGGTTGATTTTTGGAGGCAGGTTGATTTCCATCACAGCCCTGCCACTCCCTCCTCCCTCAAGGAGTTAGTGATTGACGGTTTTATGACAGTAAAATCTTGAAGGGAGAAACATGGCAGGGAATGCTAGCCCCTATAAAAACTGCAGGCCGCAGTAGATTTTGCATCTAATGTTGTAGAGTCGAGATTAGTTTAAAATATACAAAATGATTTCATAGTGTTTATCTGTGTTTGTCATGACAAATTAGTTTCCTTGTGAAGTGATCCCTTAATGTTTAACATTTATTTATACGGTGTGTCACAGAGCAGCTGCCGTGCAGGACAGCTCTTTGTAGTTGCAGTGTGGCAGCTCTGTGAGGCTCTGCTCATGCTTACATGTGAAGAGCTACCCCCCAGAAAAGAGGAGGAGTGGATGGCAATAAGCCAGATAATTCTGATATTTATTGGTACTCAGAGTTTATTTTCTTTAACCAAAACTCCAATAATAACATTTCTTGTATGGAAAACAGCATAATACATCCTTGAACCAGTGCTTTTTTGCACTTACAGCTTACTAAGAGAGTAATGAAAATAAGTGGCGTTATGTAGAGCAGGTTGGATGGACTGATCACAGTTGCTGAAGTTGATCTAAGAAGGCTTCATTGTCTATACAGGGTGGGCCAGAGGATCTCAAAAGTTCTCCTGGAGTTCATTCCCTCCAGTCCCTAAACTATTTTTCTTCAGTATTGCCATTGTAAAAAGACCATTCACATCACCCCCCTTTTTCCTTTTCTGATGGAACTCCTAGGGAACCATCATTCTGTACTAGTTTAATACTGGATTTGAACTTAGGCAGTGGGAGAGGGCCTCTTGACTACAAAATTTCTGGATGTCTAATCTAGGCAAGTTGGAGGCCTGTAGCTGCTGGTGATCCCCAGGGTTCAATACTGGGTCAGATACCGTTTAATTCTTTCATCAGTGTCCTGGATGAAGGGTTGTAGTGAACCTTCAGCAAGGTAGGTAGCGAACCTTCAGCAAGGTAGGTATCCTCATCCTTGTTGAGGATACAGAGGGCTGTGTTGCCATTCAGAAGGAATGAGGAGAACCTCATGAAGTTCAGCAAAGTCAGGTGCTGCAGGGCCCTGCACCTCTGGAGGGATAACCCCAGGCACCAGCACAGGCTGGGGGTGACCTGCAGGAGAGCAGCTCTGCAGAGGAGGACCTGGGAGTCCTGGTGGGCATGGTCATTTTTTGCCTTTAAAGGTTCTTTTTTTAAATAACTGTGCAGGGGGAAAAAAAAGTCACCTAACAGCTTTTATTGTATGATTAGAAGTATGTTGTGGTTTGTGAGGGTGTTGGATGTGACCTGCAGCCTATCTTCTTTAAATGGTATTTTTGGTCAAAAATTGAGAAAGATTGCACAGTAGCTTGCCTGAAATGTTGAGGTTTGGCAGTAGCTCCAAATCCCAACTGTGTTGAATATGAAGAACGTGGATGTAGATAATCCAGAGCTGTTTTCCTAACGTTTCTTTCAGTAGCTGGGGCAGTTTTAAAAGCATTAGTATGATTTATTTAAGTCTTTTGTAATAAGACAATTGAGGTGGTATCTCAGGTACGTGATGCGTGCCTTAAAATGGACCAACTATATTTGTTATGTACATTTTTGATTTGTATAGCATTCTGGTCAGTCTGCATGTGCTTATTGATGTAGCATTCTTGGTTCTCTGTTATGTTATTAGAAATATATATACATATTTTCCTCTTCTTTAGGGAACACCAGTATTTGTTCATGCTGGACCTTTTGCTAATATTGCACATGGGAATTCTTCAGTTTTGGCAGATAAAATCGCCCTTAAATTAGTTGGAGAAAAAGGATTTGTTGGTAAGTTCTTGTTTTATTTATTACATTATGATTTTTTGGTAAGTTGGCAAACAATGATGTAAACGAAAGTGTAATATAGTAGTGGGAGTGCTATTCCATGTTATATTAATAATAATGATCTTAAAATGAATGTGTTTTAAAAAGAAAAAAGCACTGTTTCTCTTACCACTCCTTGTCTCAGTGTTCTCATCGCTGTCTGAGGTTCCACAAAATAGCAGAGCCAGTTAAATGACTTGATTACATTGAAAGAGGTGTCCTGTGCTTCCTTGTTTTAGTATTTGTCTGATCCCTCTTGCTAATCTGACAGAAACTATTTACTTTTTTGTTGGATGATTTCCCTGCCAGTTTGGCAAGTGAAACCAAATCGGGGTCAGATAAGCTCCAGAGCCAGCACAAAGGGACAACAAGGCTGCGAGCAGAAGGGAGATGGCAAAAGAAGAAGAGTGAAACAGCCTCTTTTGGTGGCAGGGAGCCATTAGTTTGGTCCAACTACACTGTGAAACCTCCCCATGAGGCTGTCATCTCCCTGTGAATGCAAGTGAGTGGATGGATGATTTTCGGTTGGTAGTTCTCCCTACAAAGCTCCTACAGAAGGTTCCAGAACAGACTAGGGCTTGTTTGCAAGGAAGTGCTATATCTGCACTGTGCCTCATATATCCTCAATGCACAGCCAATACTTTCAAATTGAAGCTATCTCAGACTAATCAGACTGAAACTAATATGGGAGTCAGAACTCGGCTTGGTTTAGAGTCTGGGTGCTGAGGTTTTGGTGCTGACTTCCAGATGCTTGAGATTCTTACATATGTAAACAACTGTTTTTAGCAGGAGGCTTAAGCATCCTGCATCCGGCGCTGCACTAATTAGTGACGTTTGCTTTAGAGAAGAGTTGCTGTTTAAATACCCTGCCACGTTGCGAATCTGAACTGTAACAGTATGATTCTAGAGCAGGAAACTTGGGGGGTCTTCTGTAGCATGGCAGAGAAAACAAAGCTGTGATCAAGTATTTAACAGTGAGCTATAGCTGTTATAAATATTTTTTTGTGTTTTTATACTTCAGTTTTAATGAAATAAAAGGGGCACTAACATATTACAGTAACTGATTTTTGCATTTTTTCAACCATTCCTCCTTCTCTACATTGAGCACCCTGCTAACTGCATTTCAAGGAAATGCATATATAAAAGAAAGTAGAGTGAGAAAAGAGGGAGCAGAGCACTCCCAGTTTAAATAGTCTTAAGTGCTTAAGAACTGTATCATAATCCAATGAGAAAAAGTGATGAGCTTTCAGGTGGGTGAGCTGTCTTGAGCTGCCTTACCACAACTGCACTACTGCTAGTGCTGGAGTGAACGTGATGGGAAGAATGTGCAGCTAAGAACAGTGGAGAGAAGGAAGCAGGCCAGGTTGGTTGAAGTTTATCCTAAAATTGAGCTTTCATTACCCGTGGAACGGTGCTTTTGAAGAGGTATGGTAATGTGAAATAGGGGCTTTCCTCTTCACTAAGGGAAAGCCCTATGTACATGCTTATGTCATACCTACTATAGGGTATACTCTGTATATACACACACACCTACATAGATGCCCTGAATGACAAAGAAAATGAAATTATTTGGAAATGCTATTCTATTCAGTTTCATTGGTAATCCAAGAGAGGCTGAGATGATTGGTTGCATTGTTAACTGTTCTCTGGATAACAACAAAAATGTGCAACAGGTAGAAATTGTTTGGTTTATCTGAATTTCATTACCTTTATTTTTTAATATTTATTTATTTACTATTTTCTCTTTTCTAGTTATTGATCTTTATAGGAGTAAACTTCTAAAGTCCTTTCTTCTTTTATGCCTTGAACAATTACTATTTTTCTCTTTAATTTGCTAAAGCATATCAAAGTGCACACAATCATTTTTAAATCCTTGTGGAATATTATTAACACTGGTAGTGACTCAAGTTACTTTTGTTCACTCTGTCCTCCTGATTCAATATAATACACAAAGATTGTTGGACATGTGTGTGCATGTTTTGTTAGCAAGAGCATTCTTGAGAAGAGTTAGGCTGCGTATTTTCCCTTCACCTCCTATATCTGGTTATAATAACCAAGGAAATACTGCACTGCATAAGAAAAGGAAGTGCTGCAGACAAGGTTATGTCACATGAGGTTTTCAAGGTCATCTGCGTATGTGTTGTGTATTTGTCTATCCTTTTTAAATACATTGTCACTTCAAATAAGGGCCTTTTTTTTCCACACCCCCACCAGTATTGGTGTTGCAAAGCTAAAACATGTCTTCATTTCCCTGTAATATTTATCCATTCAAAGTGAGCACATTTTGCATTCTGAATACCTTTACGATTTTAAGAAAATGGATCAGTATTCCACTATGACCATTTGTTGCTGTCTGGCAGCAACAAAAAGCAGTGAGAGAGTGATTAACATTTTTTTGTAGCCTGAATCCAGTGACTTTGTTTCTCCAGTAGGCAGCCTTTTCAGGTAGGAAGTCTGGTTTGTATCATGTCAATGGAAGCCAGTTGTCCACAGTCCTCTTGATCCAGTTTTGGAGCCCAAAAGAATTGCTGTGGGTTTGGACTCCTATCCATTCAATGTCTCCCTCAGCCACTGCAAGCACATCCCTACACTTCATACCTTTTACTTACTTTCTTTTGCTTTATCCACCTGTTTTGTCTATAACACTCCTTTTCTGCTTTGTTTGTCCTTGGCCCTGGTTCCTCTATGGGAAGCCAGAGCAGCAGAGCTGCCATTCATCCTCATTTCTTCCTTCACCTTCATCTTCATGTGCTGGCAGCTGAGGGCCCTTCCTGATTTTATAATGCAAAACAAATTCTCATGAAACTATCATCAAAATGAGACAGCCTCTCTGTGAGCTGAGCAAGGAACTTGAGCATGACTTGGTGCCTACCTAAACACAGTTTGCAAGTAGTCACAGTGAAAACGGTTGTTCTAATGGCTTTATTTACTGAAAGCTTTACTGTTTAAAAAAGGTACTGTCTCTTATAAACAGAGCACGTTGACAGGCAATGTACGGAGCACTGCTGATTTATTAATTACTGTCTGCCTCTACCCAAATTAAGTCTAAAGTGATGGATATAAAATGTGCACTAGTCTGCTGTGAGTAATCCAAATAGAGAGCTCAGAGCCTTGTGAAGCTTCACAGCAAAAAATAGAATATCTGGAAACTTGATTTTATCATATTTTGTGTGCGGTGTTTGTCTGAACACCGTAGTGCCACGGAAACTCGGTGTGGAAGGCCATTCCTGTAGGTAGTGCTGGCAGCAGGAGCTTAAGGCAGCTGTGCTGCAGTTCTGGAAGGAGCTGAAGCAGTTCAGTTATTCCCTCCAGTTAGAAGCAGAAGTTTTCACTTCTGCGCATTTTTCTCTTGCCTCACCTGGTTCTTGTGCAGTCCCAGTCCTTTCCTAGCACTGGATCCTGGCACTCATTATATTCTTGTTTGAGTGATTTCACTTCATTTTTTGCCACGCTGCTAGGCTGCATAAGCTTGTGAAAGAATCCCAAGTGGTGGTGGAAATAGCACAAGGTGGAGGGCAAGACTTCAAGGCCAGGAGAGGCATTTTGGGGACAGTGAGCTCTTGGTTTGGCTCCTGACCTTCTGCAGCTGTACCCAAAGCAGGGACACGAGAAATTATTTGCTGTGTTGAATGTAGGGATCAGGGACTGACTTTTTCTGATATTTATTATTATTATTATTATAATGTGAAGTCCTAGTTATTTCAGAGCAGAACTGTCTCCTGTAAGGTGTCTGGGCTGAGCTGACAGGACAGTATGGCCTGAACTTGCAATGTAGTTTCACAAATATTTCCATGTTGTTTCTCTCAGTGATGGTTTAAGTACCTCCTCCCTGCAGCTGCTTGCTTCCAGTCCAGTGCAACCCCTTGGTTTTGCCAACACACCTGTTTATGGAACTACATGATAAATCAAACTGGGAAACTGGTCTTGATTAAAAGCAAAAACAACAAAAAAAAAAAAAAACTCCTTCCTTCCCCTCACACACACAGGTTGGGCAGTTGCACATGCAGCAAGAGGAAGAGGAGCTATGCTGCATAAGCCAGTGGTGGTGATTTTATTTTTTTTCTTTTCCCAAAATAAATATTTGTAAAATTATGGTCTAGTTTGGAGCTGTGAGCACAATAGTTAATCAGCCTGAGGCTGCAGTGCCACAGCAGCTGAGCCTGTCTCCTTTCCCAGCCTGCACAGAAGGGTTTGTGCACGACATCCCAGCAGAAACTTCTTCCCCTTTTTGTTGGCTTAGTTTTCTGCTGACTTAACACAGAAGCAGTTCAGCCCAGAGTCACAAAAACACCAGAGCTGGAGCAGGGGAGGGTGATTTGGGACAGACAGCAGTGAGAAACTAGTCTCATTTGTGCGTGTCCCACTGTTTCTGTGACCCTGTTCTGTAGCCATGGCACAAAAGCTCTCAAAAATTGTCTTTCAGCATTTATTTTAAGCTTTATTTTCTTTCTCTTGCATGCATACTCTGTTGCCTGTTTTTTCTATTTACTCTGCACATGGAATTGGACACTATGGCCCTTGGCCTTTCTTCTTGCTGTGCATTTTGAGTCTTGCTGGCTAACAATATTGTAGACAATGTGGATGAAAAAGCAAACCTAAACAAAACCCAACTCTTGAGTCCTATTGAGAATGTGAACTAACTGGAGGCATTTCCTGCTTTGGTTTCAGATGTCCCCTCCTTGCAAGCTAAAGATTGCCTAAACCCTTTAGTTTATTTCCACCATTCACTCTGCCCTGCCTTGTTGTTATCTACTGACAATTCAGAGTCCTTTTGCTCTCATTTGAAGCTCCCTTGCTAAGAGAAAGCCGTGTTTTGGCTCCTGTGAGGAGCTCGTGGGCTGTGCAGCCATGGGGAGCACAGTGCAGAGCCCTGGGAAGCCCTGCACAGATGGGACGCAGTCATCTTTGCTGCCGCTTTCGGAGCGTGGCAGTCCCTCACACGCCTTGTAATCCCCTCTGGCAGC